CAAGAGCATCTGGGAGCTGCATGTTGATGAGCAATGAAGAAAAAATGGGAAATGAAGTTACCAGGTTAGAAGCAAAACTGGCCAAAGTCCTCCAGGGTGTTAAAACCATAATCCTCAGGGTTAGCGTTTCTACCAGACAAAAGTCATTTGCTTCTCATCTGGGCAAAACTCTACCAGTTAGTTACCTGTCATTGACAGAGCCTGGGCCCTAATCAAGCGTAAACAGGAAAATCGGGGAAAACAGCAGCCCAGAGAATGAAACCCTGCCTGGATGGCTCTGTTGGGCTGTGCTCTTAGAATATTGAAAGGAAGCGCATTCCTGCCTTTGCCTCATTTATAAATGTTGGATACCTTTCTTAACGTAAGATGCAAATTCACATATTGGCAGCTGTGGCTTTTGATTTTCCAAATGCAATTTGCTCTTCACATTAATCTACTTTTCACCATCCTTCCTGTCTGCTTTCAGTCAGGAAAGAAAATCACCAATAAACAATTATGCAATTGCAATTATGTGCCATTGCAAAAATTAAATGTATTGTAATATTATTTTGATATTCATCTTGATGGACACTAAGACATTTTATGGACAATTCAAACTTTGAATTAGGACCAAAAAGAAAAAAACGCATATCTGCTTTGAATGGAAAAAAAAATCAGTTGATACTAACTGCAGTTTCTAATCTTTATTTGGACTTGGGACATAACTTTGGGCACATTACTGAATTTCTTAGCCTTGGCTTCCTCCTCTGTGAAAAACAAGACCTTCTTCACTGCTGTTGCAGACATAATTAGATGCCGACAGATTGAAAACAGGGATTATACTTCTGTGCTGTTATTTCACTCTGTTACCTGCATTTTCACAGGTCACGATTTCTCTTTTGGGACTTCCTTGCAGATTTCTTTTTTAATCATTTGTCTTTTGCTACACTGATGTGTACTTGATCCTCTTCTGATTTTAAAAAGAATAAGCTATATTTTTTAAAATCCTACCAATTGCTTTCTTTTTGCAAAAAATATTAAATTGTATGTCTCATCTTTCTTTCCCTTTTTGTAATGAATGAAATGGTCTTTTGATGAGCCCTAACATTAGATGTGGTATTTAACAAATCTGCTCTCTCTCTGACTTAATGCCACTTTAAACTGGAATCTGTTTCCCATTATTTACTGTCACATTTTCTAGAAATATAGAACACCCTGAAACATAACTTTATCTAGATGCTATTAAAAACTACACACTTAGCTCACATAGTCAACTGCTCAATTAGTTCTTCACATGAGCTGGTCAATAATACATTTTGTAAATGACAACCTGTTCATTCAAACACACTAAATAAAGACACCACAAGAAGAATTATCACATCACAGCTTCACAGAGAGGTGGGCGCTCCCATGCACTGAACCCCAGTTTCTAACCAGAGCACATCACAAGAGCCCAGCTGGAGCCATGCGCTTATTGAGATGAGACCAAAGGGGGCAGCCTGTTTTGGAACCCTTCCAGGGGTGTGGGTGTGTGTGTGTGTGTGTGTGTGTGTGTGTGTGTGTGTGTGTAGATATTCTCAGCACTTTCACATTCAGCCTTTAACTTGCCCAAAATAACTTCACTGAATACACTTTGCATGCAAGGAGACTACAAGATCCCAAAACCTGGACATTTAGTTTTGAAAATGGTGTGGAAACTGCATTTATTTAAAACCACTGTATTACACACTTTACATGGGTGACTGTATGTATGTGAATGATACCTCAGTAAAGCTTTTTTAATGGTAATGAGAGAAGAAAAAGATGAGTAAGCATTCATGCCATTATAGTTTATGTGACTGTTGTAAGTATTAAAACTTCAAAGTTATTACTTATATATAACTGTTTTCATTGCCCAACTGATCTATTTTTATGTCTGTAGAAAAGTATTTGGGCACCTTGGGCTAAATGAAATTCATCATTTTTCCAACTAAAAATTATTGGAAATATTTTTTCACTTAATGGCTTTTCACTTAGCCTAAGTATTTTCAGGGACAAATTAAATTATTAAGCAAGAGATGGGCTTAATTATTTGAAACTTAGAGTTAAATGTGATGTTGAGATGGGTTTAATTATTTGAAACTTAAGAGTTAAATCTGATGTTGGGATGAGTATCAGCGTAAATGCTGAATCGACTCACCCTGGGTGGCAGAGTTGAAACATATTTTGCCCACTGAGAAATACGAGACCTGTGAACTGGCCGGGGGCCAAGACCATGGGTAGTGTGGGGAGGGCAGAGGCCAGTGAACGACAGAAACACCAGGAAAGACACAGAAAAAGGCAATGAGACAACTGACTAACAGCCGACTTGGAAACGCAGTTTGCTGTCTCAACAGCTGGACAATAGTTGACTATCACAAAGTCAATCAGTTGGCTTTATTCAGCTCCAGAATTCAGGGGCAAGAAACAGCTGCATGCTTAAGAGTTAAAAGAAATTTTCTAAGCTCAAAAGCAACTGAAATCCATTTAGTCTCTCACTTCATGAAAGACAAACCTTATAACAAACCAGAATTTTCGGCCTTGTGTTTGCTGAGAGAAAAACTGGAGGGCAACATACTTTGGCCACTTTTCTAGTAGAAAAGGGAAACGTGGAACACTGGCAAACACAGAAGAGCATCTTTAGGGCGTGTATCTCAGTCAATCCGAAATTTAGAGTCTGAATGTGTAATGCCTGAAGTTTTGAAGAAGATAAACGCTGAAAATACGTTATTCCTTCGTTATTTCCAGTCTCTTGAGACAGATATAACAAATTCATGTCTGGGTTCTGATCAGGAAGTGCTGACTGCGAACTTCATTGAAGTTTTTTTCTGATAGAGGATGAAGAAACATTGAATAAAAAATCCAACAAGCCAAATGAAATTTCCTAACAAGGTTTTTTTTTTTTTTTCATATAATACCTGATCCTAGTCAAGAGCAAAGAAAAGAGAATATGAGCCAAGAGAGAAAATAAAGTTATTGAAGCATTATTTAGGTATTTGATCTGGGTAGCATGGCTTGAAGCTCTCCCAAGGTCTAGGGACCTTGCTTTTTAAATAGAAGTTTTCTTAAGAGGGATTTTTGTACATTTAAATGCAACTTTATACATTTTTTAAAGACATTTCCAACCAATGGAAAGTCATTTTGGAAAATGAATAATTCCAGAAATATGGAGACTTTTTGTTTTCTTTCAAACTTCATTTCCTTTTAATATTCACTCACCTGCAGCCCAAATTCTCCATGTATTTTGCCAGATATTATTTATTAACTACTAAATTCTGCTTCATGAGATCCCTGAAACTCAGAAAATGTAAAAAAAAAACAAACAAACTGTTCAGGCTGATGGCGGATGGCGAGCGCATCTGAGAAGGCCCCAGAAGCTACTCAGCGCCTTTCTCCCGACTTGGTCATTTCCACGCCAGAGCGAATCTTCCACTGCAATGATACACGGTTTGGGAGATCCCAAGGTGCAGAATCTGCATCCCTGAAAGCCAAACCACAATGATAAAAACAAAAAGAAGTGTAGATGAGACACTGGTTTCGGCTTATTCTCCCTCCAACGTCTTCCCCGTTCTAAACGCTTCACCATAACCTAATCATTTGTTGGCAGCACCCAAGTAACACTGATTTTTTAAACTGTGTATTTACTCAGTGCTTTTCGCCAGTTCCTCGCCTCTCTAGCCGCCCCCACTCCACTCCCAATTCATGATATGAGGAGTCTGAACAGCGCTTGCCTTACAGTAAGTTTTCAGTAAATGCTGATAATGACGATAAGTTTTATCATTAATAAATGTTGATAATGACAATAATTCTGCAGACAGAAAATAATACTCGATACTTAAGTCCGAACCTACCTTATCAGTGATTTACACAGAAAATCGCTGTCAGTTGAATTCTTCCAAATCGCTCTCAGGTAGGACGTTCATCTATTTCTGACCGCACATGCTGCATCTTCCTTGCCTTCACTATGTCAAATAGCTTTGCTCTCAAAGCAAATGCCCTGGGGAGACAATGGGCTGAAGCCTGTTCTAGATTAAAAGAACTCAAACAGACACAGCAAAATGCAATGTAATTTGATTGACTCCAGATCCATGAATTAAAATTGACACAATGCATTTTAGAAACAATTGGGAAAGTTAGAATATGGGCTGGGTAGGGATTATATTGCAGGACTGTTAATTTTATTAGGTATTATAATGGTATTGTGGCTAGAAAGAGGAATGTCTCTCTTCTTAGAAGACGCAGGCTAAAACAGTTAGTGGTAAAGCACTACGGTATCTGCAACCTATTTTCACATGGTTCCGCAAAGTTTTATATATTCAGTTTCAGAGAAAAAGCCAACGTGACACAATGTTAACAACTGGTGAATCTAAGTGAAGCGTTTATAGGTGCTTACTATGTTCTACTTCAACTTTTCTACAGATGTAAAATTTTTTAAGTAAAAAACTGGATCCCTGACTGATGTGACACAGGTGGGTGGGGGTCGTCCTGCAAGGCCAAAGCTCGCCAGTTTGAACTCAGTGGGACTGTGAGTTCGGTCCCTGCTCAGGGTGTGTCCAAGGGGAAGCTGGTGTTTCTCTCCCTTTTTTTCTCCCTCCCTTGCCCTCACTCTCTAAAAATAAATAAAAATATTTTTTTAATTGGGAATAAAGCATTATGCTGAGTGAAATAGGCCAGGTGTTGAAAGACAAATACCATATGATCTCACCTTTAACAGGAAACTAAACAACAAAACAAGCAGCAGAATAAAAACAAAGACACTGAAATAGAGAACAAGGGGACAGTGACCAGAGGGGAGAGGGAAGGGAACTTAAGGGGGAAAAAGGGGAGGGATTTGGAGGAACAAGTATGAAGGACACAGGGATGAGGACTGGGGGGGGAGGAAATGGGAGGGGGGAGCACGGGGTGGGGGGACCGGGATGGGAGAAACAGTCAAAAAACTGTACTTGAAAAATAACTAAATAAATTTTTTTTTAAATTGGGAATAAAAATATAGCAAAAAAAATTGTTTTATTAAAATACCACACATTTTTACTGTAATGATATACAATTATACATGATTACTTATTTATACTTTATCAAAAGCACACCTATTTCATATAAATACTAAGTCTAAAATTACCTTCAATCAATTATTCAACCTTCAGTGCTAATGTATGAACCTCTTTATCTTAAACATAATCAAAATAGCTCAATACCGACTTTAAATTAGAGACAGTGAGATGCCACATATAAGGACCATGGATTAATGTTTCAAAGTTAAAGTTTTCAATAATTTCTTCTTTGTTTTTCTTCTTTGTCTAGCATAGTCTGTTTTAAGCTCAAAATAGCATCTTGAAATCCGGGATTTAAGTCTAATACTTTCTTGAAATCTTCCAAAGCATCATCAAAGTACCCTGCACCGAATCCAAAAAAAATGGAAAAGAAAAAAGAAGCTGAGTATTTCCTTACATAACTCATAGCAAATTTTGGATACACACACTTTTGCTTTTATAGTCATGAGCTTTCAACCGCTTCTACCGAAGAAATTTTTTTTCTCTTAATAATGATATAGAGGTGCCTGTATCAAAGTAATTTTGTCTGCCCTTACAGAACAATATATTTAAAATGAGCTAAGGGCTTACCTACTGAGATTTAGCAGGTAAATTGCATAAATCATCATGGCATTTCAACAAAATTACATCTCCTATTTTAGATAATTACAGTAAAATTAGGAAACAGGAAATAATTATTTTTAACACTTTAAATATAAAACAGTACCTACGATCCCTGGATGCCAAGGATTTAAAACTCCTTCACTTCACATCACCTCGTGCGCCTTCAAAGACTTTAACTCAGGAAAGTTCCACGTGCGATCACCAGCATCAGCCCCGTTTTGCGGTTGGGCACGTACAGGCACAGGGGAGTGGGCCGCCCTCCCTCGGTGCGGACCCCCGGCCAATTCCCACCCCCGCGCTCCGCTGCGGTCCCCCGTGCCCTTCCAAAGCCTAAACGAGCCAGGAACACCTCCGCTGTTCCCAGGCTCTAAACCTAAATTTCACATCACTTTTAAGCCTTTATGAGCGCTGCATTAGTTTTACGACATTCGAGAGTTCCATATTCGGCGGCTGTGATAATCAAAGACAAACGGGGAAAAGATTCTTACCCAGCCTATACAGTATCAGCCCTCTGTTGTAGTACGGCACTTCAAAACTGGGCTGGACTTCTATGGCGGACGTGTAGTCGTCCACGGCTTCGTCAAAGTCGACCCTGAAGTACTTGATTTGTCCCCGGTTGTTATAGGCAGTAGCCAAGTCCTCAGGGCTGCATTCGCTTTGAACAAAAAGTCCACATTAAGCCCACCGCGTTACCAAATTCCTCCCGCCTCCACTTTCGTTCTCTTAAGGATGTTGCCCAACCTCATAGCCTAGAGCATGAAGCATCCACACTGAGAAACCAAGCGAAGGACAAAGGGCTGAGCAATTAAAGCAATGGATCAATTTTTGTTTAATCCTGTTGTCGACTTGTGTGCACCATACAACGTCAATCGGGAAAGCACATTCACTTCATGGTGCGCTCAAAGCGCCTGCTCCTCGCCAACCGGTTTGGCTGAATACAGTATCAGAATCACTGCTCATTTTCTAAGCACATGCCAGCCCGGCAAAGACGACTGATCAGACTCAGGCTGAGCAAGGAGCAGAAGCCAGCCGCAAGTTCCAGTCTGCTATGAACATGTCAGAAAGGGAATCATCAACTTTATTCTCAAAAGTTTAAGTGATCCCACAACAACGAGTTTTGAAATGACTTTCCACCAATAAAGAAATCAAAGTTAACCCTAAAGAAAAAGTCAACATGCAGATCCCGAGGCAGGGCTTTCTAGGAAGAGCTCCGAGCTCCTTCCAGTTTGGGCTGAGGTCCTGCCAAGGCTAAGCTGGCTTCCTACTGGAAGAGCAAGGCTCCGGTCCCCTTTGGCTCCTGTGTGCAAAATCAGCTGTGCGTCTCAGGGCTCCAGTCCACTCTGACAGCCACCAGCCCAAGGGGTTCTACAGCCTCCTACCCCGCCCCATTCACCCAGCCCCTACCTCACAAATCCTCTGCACAGACAACATTCAGGGGCTCTGCTCCTGGTCAGAGAGGATTCTGTTTCTCTTTTTTCCCAAAGGGATCCTCAAACTCAAACCAAACAGCTGCAAGAGATGCAGCTTACACTCGTCTGTCATTCCTTTGCTACATGCCACAGTCCTCAGAAAATATTTCTGACTGCTGTCAGTGTTATTAAAAGTTACTTCCCTTAATCTTCATCCTTGACATGTCAGACAGGGACTGTAAGTACTGCTGCCCTAAGCAGCACTCACAGCCTAGGGGTCTCCCTCAAGTCCAGGTTTGCTAATGATGGAGAGGAACCACTGCAGTTTTAGAAAATGCCTGTTTCCACGGGCTGTGATTGAAAGAGACTTCTAGATACTACTAGTGCCACTGTGACAAGGGAGAGCACAAGACAGCTCATTCCCCTCATCCATCCACTATGGCCCTAGGTTAACGGCTACCCTGCAGAGAGTTTAGGGAAAATGCAGCTTCAGGAGCCCAGGAGAGTTTTAGTCATTCAATTTCCAGGCTTTAAAGCTTTGTTATAAATTTCTTATATTCAGAGGATCTTAGAATTTCTGATTTAGAATTAGATCTCAGTACAACAAATTCTAAAAGCCTCCTTTGCATGTGGAAGTTGTTTCCTGTTTTAAAGACATGGGCCCAAGTGTTTTTCTGTAATATTGAGATTTTTGGAATGATAGTATTTATGGTAATGTAATTTAACCAGATTGCCTAATCCCAATGTGGATTTTTAGCACTTGATAACTTCAGAAAAAAAAACAAACATTTGGAAATTGGATTCTAGCTAAAGCTGTACTTTTGGATAGTAAAAAAAAATGTTATTAAACCATTCAGAGTGAGAGGCATTCAAAGTTTGCAAATATTATTTCAAAATGACTCAGTGACCCACAATTTTCAAAATAAATTTAAACTCTAAAAGATACACATAAAGGAAAAAGTCAGAGAATTCGGTTTCAATCCAGGGGTTCCTAGAATTTCAGAACTCCAAGGAAACTGACGGCCCACTTCACAGATGAGACACTGAGGCCAAGGGAAAGGACAAGCTAAGCGGCAGAGCCAGCCCTGGAACCCAAGCACACTGAGCTCCCTTCCACTAAACCGGGCAGACTTTCTTTCTTAAACTAGGCAGGGGCAGAAATGACAGTTCCTACCAACACACAGCACGCTTCAGGCAAATCTGAAGGCACAGAAGAAAGACGAGCTGGCATCTTCTCAAGAAAAAAAGTCCTTGAGGGAAGAAGAGGGTGATGGAGCAGACAACTCAAACTGTCAAAAAAAGCTGTTCATTTAACCCCTCTGTTCTCTGTTTCCTTGTCCTGGTCCCCTCCACGTCGTCCAGAACAACTACGGCAAAATTTGGACTATACATTCAGGCATTAATCAAGTCAGCTTGGGTGAGCCAGTATTAGTAGGTGAGGTTGCTAACATCACAAAAAGAAAGGCAGCCAGACACTACCTGCTTTCTGGTAGATGTGCACAGCACCTATTATAAAGTATTCTTGCCATACCAACACTGAATTGAACCCCAATATGTAACTACCAACTTGCAAGCAATGTAGGAGACAGAGGACTATGTTAAATAACATCAGGAGGCTGGGTCCCACAAGTCCAACATATGGGTACCTCTCAGGACACATGACGTGGTTTCCTCAACAAACTACAAGGTGTCAACCCACTGGTTGGTGGGTCAACCCACTGGTTGGTGGTCAGTGGTGCCGATTCAATGCCAACGGGAATCCTCAATTTGGGGTGTGGTGCAAAAGGAAACTTTCTTCAGTGCGGAACAATGCAGTTGTGGTATATAGCACAGTGATGAGAACAGCACAAAAGGCAGCCCCAGGGCAAGGATGGTCTGCTTTTCCCTGATGCTGGTCTGCTCTGGAGAGACCTCTGCAGTGTTTCAGCTCAGCCAGCGAAACACATTCCAAGGACACTCACAAAGCCAGAAGGGAGCAGGCTAATATGGATAAAGTCCCTGCCCCTGTTCTGACTGCTCTGTCCTCATGCAAAGGAGGACTCCAAACCCTAGTGGTGTGGCCCAAAAGGCACTGACCTCATTGGTCAAGACTAGAGCCACTCTGGTTGGTCAGAGCAGAGCATCTCCAATTGATGGGGAAAGCCTCAGTCCTATTAATTGAAATAAGATTCCAGGAACTGGCTCAGATGGCAGAAACAGTGCAGGCAGGCAGTTCAGTGCTAGGGTTTTAGGGGAGGGGGGTTCTTCGTTTCTTTGTTTATTTGTTTTGAGTCCACTTATACAACGGGAGCCCTTCTTAGGAGGTGTCTTCTTCCTCAGGGCTCACAAAGGGGAAAAAAAGAAGGTGAGCCTATAGATTAATAAGAGACCTGACGTGCATCCTGACTTGAACCACCTGATTAAAACCAACCAAACAAACAAAAGAAACTTGACTGCCCTGGCCGGGTAGCTCAGTTGGTTAGCACATGGTCCTGATAGCCAAGGTTGTGGGTTCAATCTCCCGTCAGGGCACAGACAAGAATCAACCAAGTGAATGCATAAATAAGTGGAACAACAAATTGATTTTTCTCACTCTCTCTCTCCCTATCCCCTTCCCTGTCTCTCCCTGAAGTCAATAAATGAGAAAAAGAAAACTTTATTGATCAACCAGTAAATTTCCAGATATTTAATATTGACGAGTTATGTGATGATACTGTGGTTATGTCTTTTTAAGAATCCTTCACTCGGAAATACATTTGAAACATCCATAGATAAATAATTTGAGGTGTAGGTAAAATGATAATGCTGAAGCTGAATCATGATTACCTAGAGGTTCATTATACTATGTCTCGTATATTTAAAAATATGTTTTCAAAATACGTGAAAAACAAAACACCCTCGCTGTGAAAATGTGGCTGGGGTCGCCATCGCAGAACTGCCCAGCGACGTTCCCCCCAGCCCCCTACACTACACCACCAAAGCCCTTCGGGGCCTGAATCCCTTGATCGAGAGTAAAGTGAACGCTGGACACCAGGGTGAAATGCAACCGAGAAGCCCGAGTCCTGACACCCGCCTGAGTGTCTCGGAGCTATGCTCAGGGCCAGCCCTCCAGGACACTCCCCCTCACGGCCCTTCTGAGAAAACCAGCACCTGCCCTTCAGTTCTGCAGCCCTCGTGCTCAGGTTGAAGAGCAAAGACTCCGTACGACCCCAGTCCACCGACCACAGGAAGACAGGGCTGCCCGCACTTCTCGCGATAGTTACCTCCCGGGAGGTGCTCCGGCAGCAGCTGCACAGGCGCACTGGCGAATGTAAGCGGAGTACAGCGTCTCGGCCTCCGCGTATTCGCCCTTCTGGAAATGAGCCTGGGCGCGGGCCAGGGTTGTGCGGCTCTCTCGCCCCTGCTGCCCTGCCATAGTTGTCGGAGGCCTAGCTCTCAGTGTGGAATGGGAATTGATTTCAGTCACTTCCGCACCGCAGAATTTAACCTCCCTCACTAGGAGAGGGGGCAGTTTGTGCCCTCCGAGGACCCGTCGTCTGGCCAGATCAGTACTGAGTTGCAGGCGGAGACTTCAAGCTGCCCAGAAATCTTGGAGAGACCCTTGGGGAGCGCAGTTCCGTTGTTAAGCCTGCCTCGTTTCCCGGAGAAGTAATGCACCAAACTGTTTTCCGAATCCGTGCTCTGATGTTGCAAGGAGCTTGCCCTTTGTGTGTGTGTGTGTTGGGGGGGGGGGGGGCGTGCCGGAAGCGGAAAAAACCTCGGTTTGTTTTGTGAATGGGTGATCATAGTACTTACCCAGTTCCTGTGTCCACCCTTAGCATAACACCCCTGTTCTGAGTAGGCTCTGGTTTTCCTGAGACATTTTGTGTCAGATTGCCATTAACAGTTGTCCCATGCTGCCGAGATAGAATTCAAACTTTATTAGCTCCAAGACCCTAGATTGCAAATTTCTCAACCTTTTTGAACCTTTGGAATAGTGTGAACATTAATTACATGTGTCAACAGTCCATAGTCTATGGATGTTACTTTACATTCCTTGGCTGTTTATGCCCAAAAAAACCCAGGTAGTAACTTAAGTACAATATGTTTAATGCACTTAAAAAGTATGTAAAATGAACAATCCAGAGAAGACTTTTTTAAATTAAAATTCCATTTACAATAACATCAAAAAGAATAAAGTACTTAGGAATTAACCAAGGACATGAAACACATACAATTGGTTAAAAGTAAAGACCTAAATACAAAGGCAGCCCATGTTCATGGATTATAAAACTCAGTATTTTAAAGATGTCAATACTACTTAAATCACTCCAAGATTCAATGAAATCCCTCAAAACCCCAATAATGTTTTTACAGAACTAGAAAAATCCATCCTGAAATTCATATGGAATTTTAAGAGATCCCAAGTAGACAAACAACCTTGAAAAAGAACAAAGTTGAAGGACTCCTGCTTCCTGATTTCAAAACTCATTACAAACCTACAATAATCAAAACAGTCCAGTACTGGCAGAAAGGCAGTTTTCTCAATAAATGGTTCTGGAAAAACTGGATATCTACATGTAAAAGAATGAAGTTGGACCCTAACCTAACACCATATTTAAAAATTTAAATAGATTAAAGACTTAAACATAAGAGCTGAAAATACAAAATTCTTCGAATAACACAAGGCAGAAAAAGCCTCAGGACACTATTTGACAATGGTTTCTTGGATATGACACCAAAGGCACAGGCAACAAAAGAAAAAATAGACAAATGGGACTTCATAGAAATTAACAACTTTTGTGTGACAAAAAGACTGGACAGAATAAAAATACAACCCAGAGAAAGAGAAAATATATTCAAATCACGTATCTGATACTAGCAGGAAATGCAGGTGGAGGGGCTGTAGGGCAGACTAGGCTGGTGTGTGTCCCTCTGCTCACAGAACACACATGGTGTCCCCATCGCACTTGAAAAGCTCTGGTGTATATGACATTGGAGGGCCGTGTCTGTGACTGAAGTGCCAGGGCCAGGTTCAGTGGCTGTCCCCGTCCAACTCACATGCCCCTCTTCCACTGAGCACACCTGCACTCAGTACTTAGCCTGCAGATGGCATCATCAAGCCTTCTCTCTGCCAGCTCACCCAGAAATGCAACTGAAACTCAGTGATGTGCCGAAAGCGTTATGCTCGCCTGCAACCTCAGGCTCTCCACTGCCACAGGAAGCAGTGTGACCCCAGGAAGAAAGTCAAACAAGGTCCCTCCTTCCCCCACAGGGCAGACTCCTACCTGAGCCCCAGGGACCTGGGGCCTCGATAAAACTTCCATTTGGCTAACTGGGGCAGTAAAAAATAAAGTAAAATAAAAATAAATTGTAAAGCTACACATACATATACATGCACATACATACACATATACAGTTATATATGAATATTTCCAATATACAGCACTTCTAAATCTCAACATTTCTGAAGTTGGTGTACTATTTTGCATTTCCACCAGCAACATACGAAGGTTTTAACTGCTCCATATCCTCACCCACACTTGTCAGTTTTAACCAATATAGTAGCTATTCATTTCTTTTAAAAAAACGAATTGACAAAATAAGCATTCACAAGGGAGCAGCCATAACACTGCCATTTGCCTTTTAGAAACTCAGTAGCAATATCTTGAAGCTATATCATCAAATTAAATACTCTTGATTTTCTCTTACAAGTTGAGCAACATAGTTCCCCCCCCCCATTTCTAAATGAGAACTCTGTGTGACCTCTAAGGAGTAATTCACTCTACCCGAGGTCATCTGGCACATGCCCAGTACCTTTATAGGTGATGGTGGTTGTTTTTCCTGTTTGGTAACAAAAGAGCTATTATACGTGCACTGTACCACCTGGCCCTTTCTCTCCTTACCCACAGTCCAACACCCTCCTACCGAACCCGACCAAAATATTTAAATCAACAAAACAAATACCATGTTATCTATAAGTTTTAATAAAGAAAACTTAAGATAAAGAGAAGTCTTTTTTTACTTTGCTACATATTGTTTTCATATTATTTCAGTTAATGCTACATACAACCTAACATCTCATCCCCTGAAATATAAAAATGTAATTAACAAGTGTACTTTAGAAAAACAACGTGCAATAAAGTCGGCCTCTGTGCACATCAGTGGGTGGCCCAGTGGTGCTCTGTTGCTTGCTGGGCACAGTGCTTACTCGTACAGCATTAGGTTCTGCCTAACGTAGGTTCTGCCTTCTCAGTACTTTGGCCTGCCACGCTTTTGAAACATAACACGATTCAGACCAAGTTTTATGATAAAGAACAGCTCAGAATTACTTAAAGAGAATCAGTTCATGTTTATTTCAAGAAGAGAACTGTTTCATATGCTGCCTTCAAATACACTGCTCTTCCCAACATCTCTCCAAGCATTTGGTTCCCTTTGCCCATTTCACTACAGGAGAGTCTGCTGGTGTTATTCTCATATTTTCTTCACATGTAAAACCAGCTGGGTCAACTCATACTGTGGGCCTTTCTCTAGTACCATTTTCAAGACAAGCAAGGTCTCCAAGACATGACAGATCACTAAAACTTTCAGACATAAATCCCAGACAACCACAAGCTTTCACAATAGCAGAAAAGATATGCCCAACATACGTGATAATTAAGTCTACAGTGCAGGAGAGGGTATTTCAGAGATGTTGGTATCCAGACCACACTGAACAAGAAGCAGGGAGAGCAACTCAACCTCCATCTGAAACAGTTAGAGGACAAATCCCGGCACTTGGGCATCGTGGAGTTAGAGGCAAATGAGAAGGCTCCACAGGGGAGCTCCCAACGGGTATGTTAGGAAAGGCTCAAGACGTCAGCAGCTAATTCTGGACTTGAAGCGAATTGTTTAACCTTCTTCTGATACAACTTCGCCCCATTCCCATGCTGTTCCTACCCCCACCAAGATTTTTAGTGAATTAGGAACCTTGATACTGTGAGAAAAAATTGGTCATTCAGAGTATTTCCATACTATTATGTAACCAACCACCAGATAGACAGACAGACACACAGACAAGAAATAAGGTTGACTTCCATACATTTTATATGAAAAATCAGCATCATTATTTCATCATCATAGTTTGACACAAAATTACATAAAATATTAAACAACACAGTCACAGCTGTGCATGTACACTACATGTATTTTACAGGTTCACGCACTTCGTCACTCTTCAGCCCACCGCACTGTGGCACAAGGGGCAGAAGTTGTAGTTGCTGATCTCCTGAGCCAGCACACAGTGCTTGCACACGCTGCACATCCAGAACTGGTACTCGGTGATGGGGCTTCCTGTGGCAACGCAGGTTGGAAGTTTCCCTTCCCCTCTGCAAACAGAAGAGGGGAAACAAATAATTAAACAAATAGTTATACTTTAAAATGTCTAATTACTTAAAACTTTATTTATTACATTTAAAAAACAGGAATAAAAAACATTTTGAGGTAAACACAAACTTTTTTTACAATGAGAAAATAAAGTATCAATATACTTATGAGACCAAATAAAATGGGATATAATGTTAGGGTAAACTACTTAAAAATTCAGTGCTTTAATTACTATTTCACATTGCCATACATATACAAATCCAAGCCTCTAAGAAGATAGAATGACATTTACTAATTACAATTAGTCCTACCCTTCAAGAAGGCTGTCCAGCTCCGATTTTCTGTTATCTTTCGGAGTATGTTTGGTGAAGATTTCTAGAGCAAGATCTTCGTATTGCTGTTTCTGTTCTGAACTGAGGCTGTCTAGAGACTCAAGTTTGATGAACGCTTTCGAACAAGTGCCAAAAGCCCTGCTGGCACATGCGCAGAGCGCTAACAGAGAGTAGATCTCCACAGCGGGGATGATGTCTTCGTAGTCTCTCAGGTGAAGCGCTAGGAAAGAAAGGACAATCTGGATTTGGCACAGTGATCATGATTGTGCACGGGAAAGACCCGGTGTTGATCAGTTTAGAGGTTTTAGTCTAACCGACGTGAAGGTCAGCAAAGCTGAGAAAACGGGTGAGAGGTCAGAGCACCAGCAGGAGGGAAGGGGCCACGTGGTCTCCGGGTTCTGGGTTCTGAAACGTCAGCTGATGCTCAGGGCCCAGAAACATGACTGCTCCCAAACAAGGCACCTGCCCTGCAGAAATACACACATGAACAAAAATTTGGGGCTCTAAACACACATCTTTTCTTCCATATAAATACGTTAAAACTGTTTGTGGCATTCCAGAAAAAGTAAACTGTTTCCTCTTTGTATTTCTTTAACAGGTTATTGCTTTTCTGTTTGTCTTACTGAAACAACACAACTTTGAGGGGAAAAAAGTCAAAATGAGCCTCTAGTCTAAGTTGTCAGTTCAGACCATTTATTTTTAAAACTATCATATCTTACATTCAATTTTTATATACTGGAGAAATAATCTCTCTCTTAAAAATGCACCATAGAATTAATATCAGATTGGTAACAAAACTGTATGGTTTTCCTCTCTATACTTTCAAATCTTAACAATATCTTGTTATAGTATAATATTAGAAATTTCATAAAATAATTTAAAGCAATATATTCATGTATTTTACAATTAGGTTCCTACACACTGGTTTGGGATCAGTATGTAAGAACCTACAACAAAGTTCACAGGAAGAAATTTACAAAAAATAAACTCATTCAATATAACAAAGAATACCCTCTAATTTCACAGGGCATATATTTTTTCAGATCATTTTATCTCTGAAAGACAAAACTATTAAAGTATATGGATATCTTCACTCACTAGGTGCAGGATCTCAAGTTAAAGGTCTGATTTTTCTTACAATAAATCTAGAAATTGTGCATAAGTTATATAAAACACAACTATTTTAAATAATGTATAATTCATACCACATATTAATCAGTTAGAATTAAATAAAGGTCAGTTATAAAGTAGACATCAAAATGAAAATGATTCCTATTTACAACTGATAAGCAATTAGGAAAAAACTTTACAGTCCCATTGCTAACAGAAAACAGGAATACACTGCAAAAGAAATATTCTGTGAACACGAGAGAACTACAGAACCTTAGAGAGAAACACAGATGTATAAAAGGTATCAGTGTTTATCACTGAATGAATAGAATAGTGAATGCTATAAATGTTCTTTTCCCTTATGTCAAACTTCTTATTTTTCTGTGACCTGTACATGCTTTCTTTGTAATAAAAAATATTGAATGTATCTCCCCAGGCAAGGGAAACAAAAGAAAAATTAAACAAATGGGACTTCATCACCCCAAAAAGTTTTTGCACAACAAAGGAAATTGTGCAAAGTTTTTACACAATATGAAAATACAACTCATAGAATGGGAGTACATATTCACCAATATATCTGATGAGGGGTTAATATCTAAAATTTATAAAAATCTTACAAAACTCAATACCAAAAAAAAATCCACCCAGTTAAAAAATGGGCAGAGGACCTGAATAGACACCTCTCCAAAGAGGACATACAGATGGCCCATAGACATATGAGAAGATGCTTGATGTCACTAATCATCAGATAAATGCAAATAAAAACCACAATGAGGTGCCATCTCACACCTGTCAGAATGGCCAACATCAATAAACCAACAGACAAGTGTTGGCGGGGATGTAGAGAAAAGGGACCCCTTTTGCACTGTTGGTGGGAATGCAGACTGGTGCAGCTACTGCTGAAAGCGGTATGGAGATACCTCAAAATATTAAAAATGGATCTGCCTTTTGACCCCCGTCAAAAGGAACCCCTGTGTTCATTGAAGCGTTATTTACAATCGACAAGATATGGAAGCAGCCCAAGTGTCCATCAGTAGATGAGAAGATAAAACAACTGTGGGACATTTACACAGTGGAATTTTACTCAGCCATAAAAAAGAAGATTTTACCCTATGCAACAGTATGGATGGACCTGGAGAACATTATGCTAAGCTAAATAAGCCAATCAGAGAAAGAAAAATACCACATGATTTTACTCATATGTGGAATCTAACAAATTGAGCTGATAAGCAAAACAGACAGATTCACAGATGGACAGCAGCATGAAAGCTCGTGGGGGTAGGTAAGGGGTAGAGGGATTGAGCAAAAAGGAAAAAGGACTCACGGACATGGACAACAGTGTGGTGACTGCTGGAGGGAGAGTGAATAAGAGGACTAAATGGTAATGAAAAATATATAATAAAGAGTATATATTTTAAATATATATATCTTATAAATTATAAATATATAAATATATAACAAAATTAATACATAAATATAAGTAAAAACAAATATAGAAATAGAAATGTATTAAAATCTATGTTTTTATATATATATATATATATATATATATATATATATATATATATATATATGAACCTACAAAATATAAATCTTGGGGAGACATTCCCAGATAGAAAGTTAAATCATAAAACTGTAAGTTTTTCTGAAATTACACATAGTTAATGCAATTTCATTCATAATCTCATTTTTTGTCAAACTAGAAAACAGTATATAAACTTCATATGAAAGAATATGCAAAATTTAATATGTTAAAAAATGAAATGAAAAGAACTTCAAAAGTGGAATATACAAAACAAACGAGAGAGAGCAAATCTCAAACATATGAAAATCTACAGGAAAAAGATGTTACTGAAACTAATTAAGGGCCAATTGCAGAAGCTGGCCTTTCCCGTTCAATGTATAATCTGGACTCCATGCAGGAGGTAACAGGCCCACCTGTCTTCAGGGCGGTGTCAACGTAGCCCTCGTAGAGCTGCCTCTGAGCAAGTATGAAGAAGTGGTAGGCCTCCGCCCCTCTCCACGCGTTGTCTGTGAACCGGCTGGTTGTGGACAGAACCTCTTCTTCCAGCAGACCAGCCAAAGCCGACGTGGCCTGCGGGTGAAGCAAACGATGTCCCCATCAGCACAACCAAAGCAGTGGTCCTGCCAGGGAAGGCAACTGCTGAAACCACTGTGCTGAAAATGTTCAGATTAGCAGACACATCACTACAAAGCTGTCACCACAGACTTAACTTCTTCACTATAATGCATATTTTGTTAAACTCGTATGATCAAATTCTCTTCTGCTTTACTGAGGTATAGTTAACAAATAAATGTAAGATATTTAAAGTGTGCATTGTGGGAATCTGCTATACATTTACATACACTGTGAAGGACTGATCACATGTTAAAATTAATTACACTTTTACAATAAGAGATTCATAATCTAGGGAAAGTTTTTTAGAACTCACAGATTAGAAGGGATTTACTAAGTTTTCAATATTTCACGTAGAAACGTCTAAAATACAAGCACTAATTCCAAATCATTCATTCCTTTTCCTCACATGATTTAAGAAAATGATTGCAAATAAGCAAATTAAATGGTCTGTCCAAAAAGAGAAGCTCAGGTGTTTTTCCCCTTGAACACCGTGCTGAGTTGGTCTCCTCCGATGTTCTGCCTCACCTCCGAGCTCTTCCCTTTAGCTTTCCCTCGCTGGACACTCTTCATCTGCTCATGGTACTGCTCTATTAGCAAAGCTGACAGCACGTAGAGCTTCTTAACCCGCAGCGGCTTGGTTCTTTTCTTCGCCTCTTCATCTGCAATCTTTAACCATAAAAGAATTGGGGGAAGATACTGTTTAATCCTCATTCACACAGATACAATCATCTCTAAATTCAACTCTAAAAACAGGAGGAAAGTCAGCGAGGTGGAATTTAAACACCCTCATTTATGATAAACACTTTAAAACCCATTTTCTTTTCCTTAGCACTGGTACGTGCTTAGTTCTCTCTTGGTATTTAACCCTTGGAGTTAGAACTTACAACATACTAAGAAAATAAGAGATGCTGTCAAATAAGTCAGAATAAAGAAAGCTTTCATGGAATGGATTATATTTTCATAACAAACAGATTTTTAAATAATGTTCCAAGTACACAGAGATAAAATAGTTTTAACATGGTATATCCTTCAGGAATTTTTATTTTTATTTATTTAAGTGATTCTGGGGGAAATTTTCATTTCTTCACTGAGACAAATGGGAAAACAATGGAATGTAAGCATACACACATTTATATAACACTGCACTAGTCAGCTTCCTGCCAACAGCACCTTATGAAAAGGAAACGCCTTCAGGACTTATGCGTCTGAAAGGACTCAAAACTCCATTATCAACAGGAGTTATCGCCCAGGTAAGGAAATTTGTGGTTTATGGTCCCTAAAAATTCTATAATTCTTCACCATCAGTATTAAGTAAACACATAATTGTTTAGGTACCAATAGGTGCTAATATTAATAAATGGCGTTGTTAGTAAAGGCAATAATGCTAAGATAACACATAGTTATAGTAGTAATAAAACCAGAGGTGTTTTTCTACAACAAACAGTTGTTCCCAAACAAATAGAAAATGTGTTCTTTGCTATCTAAGAAAACACTGGTAACAAGAACCAAACAAATACTCACTGCTACCGTCACATACCTTAAACATCAGTTTAGCAGCATCATAAAAGTAATTGGCTTTCCGGTAGAGTTCTATGGCATCAAGAATTTTATTCTTTTCTAATAAATGAGCCGCATACCTCGCTAACAGGGGTCCAATTTCTTTCATACTATGATTTTTAGCCAATTCAACAGCTTTATTCCACTAGGAGAAAAAATATACCATTCAGTCACATATGTCATAAAATTCACACAATAAAGCTTTAAGTTTATAATAATATTATATGAAAATTATAAACTGGTATATGTTTTTAAAAATCACTTAAAATCAGACCAATTATAAGTTTTATAAGTTGAACATGCACAAAAATTATTAAAGTAGCTAAGACTTTGATTTGCTTAAGAAGTACATTTGAGAAAGAAAGCCTCCAAATTTATAACCACATTAATCTTAAAATTCTAATTCTGCACAAACTATAAGACAGAAAAAGATATGTGTATAGTAACACAAAATACGCAATTTCAGTTAAGAAAATGTCGTATCAGATTTAATATTTACAAGTTACTTTTATAAAGCAAATGAAGCTTTATAAAATACTCCAGAGGAATGCACTGATTGTCAACAATTTCAACAAAAATTGTGCGCTTTAATTTCAGTTAAATTCCGGCTCTTAAAAAATATCAAGTATACATTTTCTTTAAAGGGAAAACAATCTACTCCCCCGGCTTGTAGGGCTCAGTGGATTAAGCACCTGCCTGGGTTGCAGGCCAGTCCCCAGCTGGGGGCGTGTGAGAGGCCACCAATCTATGTCTCTCTCACACACTGAGGTTTCTCTCCCTCTCTTTCTCCTTCTCTGACCCTCTCTCTTAAAGTAAATAAATAAAATCAAAAATAAATAAAAATAAAGGGAAAAGACTATAGACTTGCCAAAGTAAATATTGATAAAGTAACTCAATTCTTTCTTCTTGCAATGACCATTACCTGGTCCTTCTTTAGAAACAAGACCCAATCCTGATGAAATGCAGAAAAACTGGCCAGACTAAAAGCACAAGGTTGGTTCATGTTCCCACACTGAGTTGGATGTGACTGGGTCACCCCTAACAGTGGCACTTCCAAACGGGACGGAGCGCCAACATTTCCTCGGTCCTCTACTAAGTAAGAGACTACCTGTCTCCTTGCACAAAATTCACCTCCAGCTCTCCAACCCTCTGTCAGCAACAGCCTTCAAAGGATGGCTGTGCTGACTTCCATTTTCAGCTCCTTACTTGGTTGAGATGCACGCAGGTATCTACCGCTGCCTTTGGCTGACTGCATTTCAAAAATGCAGTCACTGCTTGTTCACACATTCCAACCCTCACAAACATTTGTGCTATTTCCTGTAAGGGTAAAACAGTACTATCAGATTTCACACATCGAGGAAGTCACTTACATTCTAATTTACGAAACTCCACGGGGACATGTGGTTACAGTAATTTTGCATCAGAACAGACACAGGGACTGAGGCCACAAACCACAATGGGTGCAGAGGCACCACCTTGGGTAAGACCCGGGGAGCTGAGGGCTCACCGGGCCCTGCAGCTCCTGCATTCTTTTCTTTCTCGGTTCAGAAGCCGCTTTAAGCTCTAAAATAACCCCCCCTCCCCCGCACTGGTGTGTAAGAAAAACCTTTAAGGCAAGAGATGATGTAGTCAAAAGTGATTGCTCACATGAGGCTTAGGGAACCCATTCACAGAGCTCGCTGATACATCCACAGAGGATGCCCGGGACAAGCTGGCCAGTCACCGGGTCAGGAAGCTGGACCCAAAACAGAGCTCCCAGAGGGAGGAGGCAAGGAGAGAGAGAGCCACGGCAAAAGCCTGTCCCACCCGAGTGGCTGTGCTTTCCATCTCCAGAGTTTGTTTGTTTGTTTGTTTTCTTGTCCTTCTGAATATCTAACTGGCCGGAGTTTTTCTCTCTCCACCTCTACTTTTAAAATATTTTGGGGAATATCATAAAAGCACATTTTGTATCCAGCTATCTTTTTTATATACCTACAGCCCTCCACTCTACCAGCTGACTTATCGAAGGGAGTCCAACTATCTTTTTGAAAGTAACAGCCATATTTTTATGATTAAAATAACACATTCTTATGGTAACAATAAAATTAGAAAACCCCAAAATGAAGTTAATCTTATTACCCAAGGAGACCTCTCTACAGTCTGATGTAATTTCCTAACACCTTCTTCCTCTGGATGCCCGTGTGTGGGTGGGGGATGGAGTACGGACCGTGATACCGTACAGGGTCGGCCAAGGACGTTTCCGGTTGGGAGTATGCAAAACACAGTATATTCCTGAGTCAGCATTTGTTAATTACTGTATTGTTTCCCATGTGAACAACTGTGGGCCAACTTTTGCCCAACCCTGAATATAGCTTTGCACCTGCATTTCCCACTCGAATATTATGTACAGTTTACCATGTTATTAAAAGCTGCTCCAGAACTTGATTTAAAATGTGCACTACTATTTAACATTTTTAATCACGTTAATTATTTAATTATTATTACAGCTATGATTGCTTAGTGTTTGCTCAGCAATATTACTATTTTGGGTCCCCTCCAGTTCTTTTCTGCTGCGTCATCAGACACACCCAACGGACAACGGTCCCATGGGCGGCACTGCCCCTGCCCAGGGCTGTGAGAGACTTCGTTTCTGTCCCACCCCAGAAAACACACCGGACTGAGAATAAGGGAGAGTGAAGTGCCGTTACCACGGGGATAACTGCTCTCATTCACGGTAGAGAAAACTGAGTTATCAGAACCCTACACTCGCCTGTTAGTTACCAGACAAGATTTTCCTGGCAGAACTCACAACTGATACATGTGTAGACCCTGCAGTTGAGAGCTGCTTACTCTGTAGGTTATTACACAGCTCAGTGATTTACATTTTAGATAATAAAACAAATAAAATACAACCTCATTAATGTCATTCAATAATCGATTAAAAGAAGCTTAAAAGGAACAAAGTTCCAGAGAACACTGCTTTTAGTTTTTCTTCTTTAATACATAAACGAATAAAAGTCAACCTATCTTTTAAAACTCCCGTTATACTAAATATCAAACATACACACATGCACACAAACCGCCAGACCCAGCACAGATTATTCTGAAGCAGACTTCTGACAACGTATCGCTTTATTTGTAAGTATGTCATGGGTTCAGCTAACTTTTAAAAGCAATTTTATAAAACTGGCAAGACCAGTTGTTTAAGGGTATAAGGGGAAAAAACAGTAATGGAAACAATACGGTAAAAACAAACTATTTTAAAAAACTAGCAAGACTATACAAAACTGCAATCATGTTAAAGTAGCAAGAATATGATTAATTTTTCCCTCCATTTTCAAGTATTCTATAATACTGATGCAGTGTTTTAACAATTAAAAGCATAATCCCATGTCTCAGCAACTGTAAGATTATAGGTTAATTTAAAATTTTCCTTGTTACAGAGAACATTTCCTGATAATAACATAAAAACCTTGGCCCTAGCTAAGGGGCTCAGTTGGTTAGAGCATCATCCTAATATGCCACGGCTGCAGGTTCGATCCCCAGTCAGGACACATACAAGACTTAACTAGTGGACGCATAAATAAGGGAAGCAACAAATGGATGTTTCTCTCTCAGTCTCTCTTTTTCCCTGCCTCCCTTCTCCCTTTCCTCTCTCTCTCTAAAATCAATCAATGTTTTAAAACCATAAAAACCTTATAAAGTAAACAAACAACTTCGAGAACTGAAATGTCCAATACCTACTGGAAGTAACTTGTGGTTTTCTGGAAGTGAATTAGCAAGACTCTCCAATCCCTCATAATCTTCTAACATATAATAGCATTCAGCTAAGCGCTCCTGGTTTCGGCCCTGCACGTAATACTGTACAGCATTCAACCTACAGAGGAAAAAGAGAAAACTCTGCAAGCTGATGTGAGTGTCCTGGTAAACAGCACTTCCAACCAAATCACGTTCCTTCATTAGAGTCACTAGTAAACTCTAATCATCATCCTCAGCCACAAAATGTCTTTGAAGCAGTTAAATCGGGGAGAAAAAATCTAAAATTGTGACGAATTTTTTAGTTAATATTCTTTGAAGTCTTAATATTGTTTTCATCTGATGCACAGTGGCACCTCCAAACACTGACATAAATAAAAAAGCACACTGATCAAAATGAAAGCTTAAAAATAAAAGCCAGTGATTTCTGAAAATAATCTACAATGACAAAATAAGCCCACATAAAATACTGTTTTTATTTCTTTGTTTCTTGAAGATCAGTCCCGAGTGGCTTGGAATTGCACACCGCGGTCTCCCACGGCGGAGCCGCCTGCCCCCGAGCACCGGCCCTTGGGTTCGGGACACTGGCGTCCTGGCTGGTCTAACAACCTAAGCCTCTCAAGCAGCCCCTCCCCCGCCACCTAGAGCCACTTGAAGTTTAGGATCCAGGAGGGATGGTCTCCATTTCCCAAGCAGTATTTCACAAGTAAGTGTGCAGGCAGCTGCATTTTAAGTGCTGGTGAGTGGCTGACGGGGTCCAGACAGGTAACTTACCACTTCTGTCGGTCAGCAAAGTAGTCTCCGATGGCATTGTGGGCCTGTTCAAGGAGACTGTCGTCGGCGTCACCGGATCCAGTCTTCAGGAGCTGGAGGACCCTAAACCAGTCTCCCAACTTCAGCCGGAGGCCTATAGCGAGATCTCTGCAAACAATTCATTCATTCACTTGTCTTTTTTTAAAGATTTTATTTCTTTATTTTTAGAGAGGGGAAGGGAAGGAGAAAAAGAGGGAAAGAAACATCCATGTGTGGTTACCTCTCATGCACCCCCTACTGGGAACCTGGCCTGTAACCCAGGTATGTGCCCTGACTAGGAATTGAACCAGTGTCCCTTTGATCTATGGGCTGGCACTCAATCCACTGAGACACACCAGCCAAGGCCATTCCCTCACTTGTTCATTTGACATATTTATCAAATGCCTACTATGTGCTAGGTTCAATTCGAGGGTACTGAGAATACACAGCAATGAACAGGGAGACAAGGTAAATCTCCAAACATTTCAGAAACTTAACCTGACCAGGTAAGAAGCAATGGGGAGAACATGGAAGAGAGAAAAGGAAACAATTTCCCACCTTTAATTCCCTAGACTTCCAATTTCCTTAGCAAAATAATTAAATAATAATCACTTCTTTTCATCAGTTTCCTAGTTATGATCAGGCTTATTTAAAAACCAAACATACAAAAACATATTTGGTTTTATCTTTCTGTATAGGGCTTATGTTGTATTAAATTGTATTAAGTTGTACTTCCTGGAAGTACAAATAATATTAATAAAAATTAGACATAATGTTTACAGCTGAAATGAAGTTTATACATTACATAAATCTGAAGTGAAAGATAAAGAATAAAACTCAATCCCTAAATATGTCTGACTTTATTTTGTGCTACTTGACATCAGAAAACTAAATAATGGCCTAAAGCCAAGCAATGAACTGTGTAATAAATGATAAAAAGCCCCCCAGTCTCTGTAGTCACGTGATTATTTTTCCTATCAAGTGAAACAATCTCCTATGGCCAGCGGTTCACATGTGTAAAAACTGCGAAGAAAACTGCCCCCAAATTACAAGCCATAAATTAATGAGGGGCATGTGGAATATCTAGGATATAATCCAACCTGATATTATTTTCTAAAAGAAACGGTACGGCGCAGTTAGTCTGTTTCACATTCTTCATCCATGAAAACACTGCCAACTCGGGAAGCGCCCTGGGAGGCCTGCACCTTCATCACTGACCTTCTGTCCATATCGAGATACATCCTCTCGGCCTCCTCGAACCCGCCGAAGTAGGCGGCGACCTCCGCCCGCTTCATGGACTCGCTCTGGAGGTTGCCCAGGCGCTTCACGAACTTGATGCCTTGGTAATCTTTGCAGTGCACAAATGCTTGCTCCGCCGTGTTCAAATCCAGTTTCTGAAGGGCTGCTTCAGCCAGGAGGCGCCTTCAGAGGAAAGAATCGGAAAAGTCCGTTGCAAATTACTGATGCACAAGTCTCGAACTAGGATTCAATTACTCTAATGATGGTTGCCAGTGAAACATGGTGAGCAATGATTATTTTAACACATTTTATACAAGTTTCATGGAATATTATGCTTATTTTGAGCTCTTCCAAATCTAAAGTGAATTCATCTCACAAAGAAGAGCAAGAACAGGAAGAACGGGACGTGTCCATCCCGTGGAGGCTGGCGTGAGAGGCACGGGACAGGGACAGAGCCGAGGCTGTGACAGCGCACGGCAGACACCTGGGCAGGAGCCTCCGCCTTCACCCACCAAAGTCGGGGGTGCGGATTGTCCTCTATGAACTGAGACGCATCTTCGATTCCAACCTTCTCGATCAGAGCTCGACTATCTCGCAGGGACCGAATCTCAAAGTTAACTACATAATCCTTGTTCGGATGTTCTGGATTCTACAAGAAAAGGTGAAAAGAAAGGAATTTAAATAGTTGCCTTTGGACTCTATGTTTCTTTTTTACAGCTTAACAAAAAAATAGCATCATATTGTGAGCAAAACTTGGAAGAAAGTCCCAGGTGTGGATCTTCTGAGTTATTTAAAAAACATCCCTCCGGCAACTATCAGGCTACCTGTGGGGAAGAAGGGGCAGCGGCAGAAGGGGTCCCAGTCTAGAAGAGAGACTTCTTTCCCTCAGCTCAGCGGTCTTTTCCCCGGGCACTGCTCCCTTCTCAGCCACAGTGCTGGGCAAAAGCGGGCAGGCCTCTGGCCCCCAATCCTTCATCTCCCTCCCCGCTGGGGCTATGAAGCACTTGCTCCATGTGCTGCTGGGCGAAGGCAAACAAAAGAAAAAGATCCAGTGTTCATCACCACTTTTCTTTTGTAATGTAGTAGACTGACCAAAAAAAAAAAAAACCCTGAAGGCGAGTCTTGAAGAAAAGAGCTAATGTCCAAAGAAAGGAGGCAAAAGGCTGTAATGAACTCAGCAATATTTTACACATTCCAGGTAATGAAAAGTGAAGCAGACGAGAAAATCAGAGCCCCCAGGTGTAAACAGCAGGGGCTCCCAGAGACCAAGTTCTCTGCAAAGGTGGACTGAGCCGCAGGCACCCCCTGCTCACCCTGCCGCTAAAGCACCAAGTCTAGAAACAGAAAAGTTCTTGGGAACTCCCAGGTACAAAGTAGGAAGCAGTATGAAGAGCGTGAGGTCAGGATTCAGACAGACTTAGGCTCAAATCCTAAGTCCACTGCTTTCTGACTACATGATAACTCTTTCTAGAGCCTGCCCTACCTCCCCCTCCCTTCTCACACAAAAAGCCAGAATCATCTTCCCAAAACAGAAACCCCATGACGTCACTCTCCGGCTTCCCTCCCCCACTGACTCCAGGAGGAAGTCCAAACTGCACAGCATGTGAGGTCCCTTATGACCTGAGCGGCCCTCCCCCGTCCCCTCTCCCCTTCCGCATCTGGGCCAATTACACCCACCAGCTCCGAAGCCAGACAGACAGCTTGGAGTCAAACCAAGTCTTTGCCTACTGCAAACCGGGTGTCGCCAGCAAATTAGCTTTTCCCTCCAAGCCTCAGACTGTTCATCTCAACAAATGGAGATAATCAAACTTACTTCCTTCAGTTATGAGGATTCAATGAGATTAACACACACCAAATATTCAGCACAATGTCTGGCTGTGCCACTCACGTTACTCGGTCTCCGAACTGACCCGGCAATGCTCTCTTGCTTCAGACCTTTGCAGAAACGCCCCTACTGACTGACCCACAGCATGCCCAACCCTGTTCTGGCTGCCGCATTTCTTGTCTACTTGAGGCCAGGAACCATGTCTTACTGTCAATAAGCATTTGCTGCATCGATGAACAGGCAAATTTTAGATGAATCATTTTACCCACTAAGAGCCTTCCTCATCTAAAAACGAGGTCTGTGCCAATGTACCACGGTGACAGTAAGAAACGAACACAACATGTAACATGCATGGAACATTTCGTGCGAAGTACGTTAGTCAGTGTTAATTCCCTTTCTTTTCCTCTTGCATTCCTTCTTCTCTAGTCCCCCAAGAAATTTCCATGTTATTTCTTTTTTCTCATGTTATTTCTTTTTTCTCCTGTTTTATTGAGACGTAACTGACACATAACATTGCATTACTTTAGGTGTACAACAGTCGTGTTATTTCTTAAACTGAATTTTTGTCAGAATCCACAGTTTAGCTAAATGCTTCCTGGTCACAAGGCCCCAGAGGAAGGCACAACAATATTCTTTTCTTTAAGGCTTTGCTTTTAGTAAGTCAGACAGAGAACAAAACTGGCACCAAGAACGCGGTGTCTCTCACAGTGTCACGCCTCCTGCCAGGAAACGGGGCAGTGGTGCTGTGCGTGTTCCTTATCCTAATATACAGGCATAAAGCAGCGTCCAGTGTACTGAGTCGTGAAGTCCACCTGACCGGTTTACATACATGTATTTTTAAATCCTTCATAGAAGTCAACGCACTCATCACAGCAGTAACACCACAGGTGTTTCCAAACATTCTAGAACTTAAGCTAATCAGCAACGATGAGCCTTTCTTAAAAAAAAAATTACAAAAAATTAAATCCAGCCAACTAAAAGATTCATCATAATTAAGGATTCATTTACAAAGAAAATGTAGTAAACACACTGGTAATACACTGCTTATTTTTTCATAAGTTTTTTCTTTACTCAAAAAAATGGTATTATTTGTGCTGAAAAAAATTATCTAAAGTTCTACAATCCCCTCAAGTTCACTTTCCAGTTATTAAAATTAACACTAAAAAGGTAGATTGCACAACAATGCAATTTTTATAAGATCACTTCTGTTCACTTAATCTAGTCTATCAAATCTTTGTGACAGAGGACGGAGGACCTGGGCTTTATCAGCCAAGACATGAGGCAGGAGGGGAAGGGTGCAGGGTGAGAGGTGAAGCTGAAAAGCTGTCGGCAGTCAAACATCAAAAATGAAGTCTGCGGCACTGCTGCAGTCTAGGATTATATGATCTCCAAGTGGGAGCACCTGGCTCTCCTCTGTGTGGACAGCACTTCCGCAGAGTAAAGAGAAAGACCTGTGCCTGCTGAAAGTACTAGACTTGTATAGAATTGAACTTGGTTCCACAGATACTGTACTGTTTAAACTGAATACATAACATCAGAGAATATGTACTTCCCCCTTTCCTCTCTTATGAACAAAGACATAAGGCCTTTTGTTTGTCCTTTTTCCCAAAAGATTTACTGAACAACTAACTACCCTCTAACTAGTCTCAGGCCGGTCTCCCTGCCCTGCTCTCAAGCCATTTTCAGACCAGCTTGAGAAGCCTGCCCTTTTTCCCCCAAAAGCCTCATTACGTAAGTGATAACCTTCACCCACATTCTCGGTGTCTGTGGGGTCATCACTCTTGACAACCAGACCATACTTTGGACAGGGGCCCACCCAGCTCGTGTAGGGCACTCATGACACAGGAAAAAAAAACGGCACATAATAAAATGGCTGTAATCTACATATGAAAACACACTACAAACTGCAACTAACTTCTAGAAATTTAAAATCTACTATCCTAATTCCAAAAAATATATGAGGTACATATAAAAAGTAAATGATTAGGATAAAATGAAGCTAAAACTGTACTCAGTATAGTCTTGGAGAAAAAAGATTCTCAAAAGATGGTTAATAAAGGCCAAAGTAATAGCTCAAAAAGATATCAGGAACCAGAAATGGATTCTTTTTAAACACCAGCAAAAAAAAAAAGAAAAAGATAGTGAACTTTGGAAAAAAGGTTATTCAAGTGTCCTAGAACTAAACTTTCAAATATTTCTTCAGAAACTCTTTGTTGTTAAGGCAAAAACAATGACAACCACTAGTTACCATTTTCCGAGCTCTTAGCACTGCGCTCAGTGCTGTTCGCGCATTTTAAATTGTGTGGTGACAGGTACTGTCATCGTCCATGTTTCAGAGGGGCTGGAAACTGAGGCTTGTGAACAGGGAAGGGAAACTCGAAAAGACGAAGGAGCCTCCGTAAAGGACGCACAACTAACAACGAACGCAGGGCTGGACGGCAGGTGTGTCCGACCCCTCGCCCCACACTCCCAACCGGGCCGCCATGCTGCTCGGGGCAGAAATTAATCCCAGTCAAGCCAGCAGCAGAAATATGACTGTTTTTCAGGAATTACCTTGGGAAAAAAAACTCATAAAAAAAGGAATTACCTTTAGTATCTCATCCAATAAAACTGATTTAATTTCTAAATCCTCAAAGTTACAAATATATCCAGAAGTCTGAATGGGTTCCTTTAAAGACAAAAACAAATGTTATACTTAATTATATAAAATTTTCATTCCTTAACATATCATACATTTTATTATCAAATTTTCAAACCAACAGAATAGTAGAAAGGATGTCATAAACACCCATATACGCATCATCTAAATAATTATTAACATTTTGGTTAATAAGCTTCAGTCAATTTTTTGGCTTCAGTATTTTATTTATTTTATCTTTATTTTATTTTATTGATTATGCCATTACATTTGTTCTATTATTTTATTTTTTTATTTATCTTTAGAAAGGAAGGGAAGGAGAGAGGGAAAGAATATCAATGTACGGTTGCCTCTTGTGGGTCCCCCGCCGGGAACAGCCTGCGATGTAAAGGAGCTCCCCTCAATCCCCAGCAGAAACAATAGGCATGTGCCCTGGCCGGGAATCAAACCTCAATCCTCTGGTTCGCAGGCCTGTGCTCAATCCACTGAGCTATACCAGCCAGGGCTGGCTTCAGTATTTTAAAGTAGATTTATAAAATTCATGACATTTTATCCCTAAATATTTCGGTTCATGTCTCTAGAGGATGTTCGCTCACAAGGCCACATTAGTATTACCACACCTTATATCATCAATATTCATTCCCTAGCCACATCTAATATCAGTGACATTAAATTTAACTCTTAATAGAATTCGCAAAAACTGTATTTGCATTTAAGTATATATATATACATGAAAAATCTGTCCTCTGTAAACATTAGCCAGCTAGCATTCCTGATAGATTTTCTACATGAGAAGATTTAGTTTGCCAATATGTAAACTCTTGGGTCTACTATGTGTCTGTCTCTTATCCCAGTATTATAAGGCTTGTAGAAGTAAGCTACAGTAAATGAATATTGTAATGTAAAGTAGCTGCCCCAAATCCCTAGCAGAAAGAATAGGCATGAACAACAGACCCAAAAAAATAAACTCCCAATATACTTAATACCTCCAAGAACACTGTAAAAAGAATAGAATGAGGTTGTCTGGCTATGGAAATAGTGCCAGAATGTAATTTTTAAAAATATGTCTGTATAGGTATGAAATAGATGATGAAATAGAAAGTAAACAAATCTAAATGAAATTACATTATCATATATATCACTCTGAAAGTCCTTCATATATGATAGAAACTACAGACATTTTTATAGGAAGATACCAAAAGAGTGAAAATAAAAATCACATTTAGTTTGAGTAAAACCTGAATCATATTCAGTTTGAGTTTAGTATGTCTAGGTTTAAGAATGAGGCCCTTGGAAGTACATTAGTATATGTGTTAATTGGAATTTAAATATATATATTCTTTTGAAAAGTAGAAATTATTGAGTGAAATAGTCAAATTATATGAAAAAATTATGAAATCCCTTTATTTTCTCAAAAAAAGAGGTTTTACATAAAGGTGATGTGTTCAAAAGTTTGGAAATCCCTTGTTTGGAAAAGAAGCCAATGTACAAAAATGATAGCCTGGTGGATTAAAAGTATGTGATATGAAAGAAAGATGCATATGAATAGCAGTACCAACGAGAGGAAATATTCAAGAAAATTAATAAAAGAGCTGTACCTTGAGGGGTCCCTGGAGATGAAAATGATCACATAGGAAATATCAATATTAAAATTCTCATCTCCTGGATGGATGCATAGGTAGACACATTTTGCTTCCTCGCACAACCAAATTAAGGACAACAAATTTAAAAACAAAAAACAACCAGAACTGCCGGAAAACCAAACTGTATGGAAGTTCAATAAACAAGGAGTTAAAGAAACATTCATCCAGACCAGTAGGAGGGGCTGAGACAGCAGCCAGGGTGAAAGGGACGTGCGGCAAGGGAGCCAGGTATGAGGCAGCTGCTGTCAGGCCAGGTAGCCCCACATTCATGTGCAGATAAACCAGGAGGAACAACCAGGAAGCAAGACACAACACACAGCCCAGGGTTCCAGTGCAGGGAAACTAAAGTGTCAAAACCTCTGGCTATAAGAACCTGTGGGGGTTGCTGCAGAGACAGAAACTTCTAGCCTCACAAGAGAGTTTGTTGGAGAGACCCACAGAGTCCTAGAACATATACAGCCTCCCCACACCATAATCAGCACCCAAAGGGCCTAATTTGCTTGTGGGTAGCAGGGGAAGTGACTGAAAGCCAGCCAAGATCCTAGCCAGCAGCACTGTTGCCTCTGAGACCCCTCCGCCAAAGTACAGCAATGTAGATTGCTCCACCCTGGCAATACCTAAGGCTCCGCCTCTTACAACATATCAGGTGTACCCAGACCAAGAAATACAGCCCAAATGAAAGAACAGATCAAAACTCTAGAAAAAGAACTAAGCAACGAAGAGATAGCCAACCTGTCAGATGCAGAGTTCAAAACACTGGTAATCAGGATGTCCACAGAAGTGATTGAGTATGGACACAAAATAGAGGAAAAAGTGAAGACTATGAAAAGTGAAATAAAGAAAAATACACAGGGAATCAACAGTAATGGGAAGGAAACCAGGACTCAAATCAACAATTTGGAACAGAAGGAGAGATAAACATTCAGCCAGAACAGTATGAAGAAACAAGAATTTCAAAAAATGAGGAGAGGGGACTTCCGCCAAGATGGAGAAGTAGGTGGAGGGTCCACCTCGCCTCTGTGCACAACCAAATCTAAGAACAACTATTTTTAACAGCAGTCACAACCAAGCTATACGGAAAATCAACAATACGGAGTCCAAAGGACAACTAGATACTCGGCTGGAACGGTACAAGGAGCGAGACCAGAAGCGGAGCAGGTTAGCAAGAAAAAATTCCCGGGGCGGCGGTGCGCGGCGTGCGCAGGCGGCAACCGAGGGCTGATCGCCAGTGAGCTGGCGGCGGAGCGCATAGGGAAGAGGCGCGGTGGGTCGGTCGGTCGCGCGCAGTTACGTGCGGAGAAACCAGTGAGAAGGGAAACCCGCGAGGTGCAGCAGGCTCGCAAAATTAGGATCGGATAAGCAAGCCCGAGGCGTTTGTGTGTGTGACTGGATGCTCTGGGCTAGCAGAGAGGAACGCCATTGCTCCTTCTCTGACCCCGCCCCCACACACAGCGTCACAAACCAGCGACCTGGGTCGCCCCGTCCTGGTAAACAACTAAGGCTTCGCTCCGCTCACTTAACAGCGCGAACAGACCAAAAATGGCTCTAGAACAACTCAGAGCCCCAGAACCGATAGACCTAAGTGATGAAGAAATAGCCAGTCTTTCAGATGCACAGTTCAAAACACTGGTTATAAAGATCCTTACAGAACTGGTTGACTTTAGCCACAAATTAGAGAAACATATGGAAGCTAAATTAATTGAAATGAATGGGGATACAAAAGATTCCAATAATAATGGAAAGAAAATTGGGACTCAAATCAAGGGAGAGAACCAGACGGAAGAAAAAAATGATAAAACAGAAAAGAATGAAGAAATAAGAATTCAGAAAAATGAGGAGAAGATTAGGAACCTCCAGGACATCTTTAAACGTTCCAACATCCGAATTATAGGGGTACCAGAAGGGGGAAAGGCACAACCACCAGTTGAAAAAATTATTTGAACAAATAATAAAGGAGAATTTCCCCAAGATGGCAAAGGAAATAGACTTCCGAGAAATCCAGGAAGCTCAGAGAGTCCCAAAGAAGTTGGACCCAAGAAGGAACACACCAAGGCACATCATAATTACATTAGCCAAGATTAAAATGAAGGAGAGAATCCTAGAAGCAGCAAGAGCTAAGGGGACAGTCACCTACAAAGGAGTTCCCATCAGACTGTCAGCTGATTTCTCAAAAGAGACCTTACAGGCAAGAAGGGGGCTGGACAGAGGTATTCCAAGTCATGAAATCCAAAGACCTACAACCAAGATTGCTCTACCCAGCAAAACTTTCATTTAGAATGGAAGGACAGATAAAGTGCTTCTCAGATAAGACCAAATTCAAGGAGTTCATCATCACCAAGCCCTTACTATATGAAATGTTAAAGGGACTTACCTAAGAAAAAGAAGATAAAAAAGATGAACAGTGAAAGGACAGCAAACTCACAGTTATTAAGAACCACACCTAAAACAAAAGCAAACTAAGAGGATAGCTAGATCAGAAGCAGAACCATAGAAATGAAGATCACATGGAGGGTTAGCAATAGGGGAGTGGGAGGAGGGGAAGGGGGAGAAGGTACAGAAAATAAGTAGTACAGACAGTAGATAGAAAATAGATAGGGGGGAGGGTAAGAATAGTAGGGGAAATACAGAATCTAAAGAATTTGAGACACATGTTCATGAACTAAAGGGGGAAATGGTGGGGGAGGGGTATGCAGGGTGGAGGGGAGGGAAGGGGGGAATAGAGCTAATGTAATGGCATAATCAATAAAAAAATAAAAAAAAATAAAAAAAAAAATAAAAAAAAAATGAGGAGAGGCTTAGGAACCTCCAGGACAACTTTAAACATTCCAATATTTGAATCATAGGGGTGCCAGAAGGAGACAAGAATGAGCAAGAAATTGCCCTGGCTGGTGTAGCTCAGTGGATTGAGCTCGGGCCTGTGAAGCCAAGGGTTGCCGGTTCGATTCCCAGTCAGGGTACATGCCTGGGTTGTGGGCCAGGTCCCCAGTGGGGGATACATGAGAGGCAACCATACATTGATGTTTCTCTCCCTCTCTATCTCCCTCCCATCCCCTCTCTCTAAAAAATAAATAAATAAAATATTTTTTAAAAAAGAATGAGCAAGAAATTGAAAACCTTATTTGAAAAAATAATGAAGGAAAACTTCCTCAATCTGGTGAAAAAATAGATGCCCAGGAAGCTCAGAGGCCCAAAGAAACTGGACCCAAGGAGGAATACACCAAGACACGTCATAATTAAATTATCCAAGATTAAAGATAAGGAGAGAATCTTAAAAGCAGCAAGAGAAAAGGAGACAGTTACCTACAAAGGAGTTCCCATCAGACTGTCAGCTGATTTCTCAAAAGAAACCTTTCAGGCAAGAAGAGGCTGGAAAGAAGTCTTCAAAGTCATGAAAGGCAAGGACCTACATCCAACATTACTCTATCCAGCAAAGCTATCATTTAGAATGGAAGGGCAAGTAAAGTGCTTCCCGATAAGGTCAAGTTAAAGGAGCTCATCATCACCAAGCCTTATATGAAATGTGAAAGGAACTTATCTAAGAAAAAAAGATGATCAAGAATATAAATAGTAAAACGACAACAAACTCACAACTATCAACAACTGAACCTAAAAAACAAAAACAGAAACAAATTTAGCAAACAACTAGAACAGGAACAAAAACACAGAAATGGAGATCACATGGAGGTTATCAGTGGAGAGGGGGAGGAGGGAGAATGGGGGAAAAGGCACAGGGAATAAGAAGCATAATTGGTAGGAACAAAATACAGACAGGGGGGAGGTTAAGGAGAGCATAAGAAATGGAGAAGCCAAAGAACTTATACGTACAACTCATGGACATGAACTAAGACGGGCGGGGGATGCAGCTGGAAGGGGCAGTACAGGGCTGAGGGGGAGAAAAAGGGAGGAAAAAATGGGACAATTGTAATAGCATAATCAATAAAATCTATGTACTTAAAATATAAAATAAAATTCTCATTTCCTAATTCTCAAAGGAAATGTGCCTTATCAGTGAATTAGAACTCTGCATACCAGTGGCGCCCTTTCTCACATGTAATTTGGAGAAGAGTTTACAACTTCAAGGAAAGTATAAATTTAGAACTCATGACAACGGGCAAAAGGATTAAAACCGTGTTCAGCAGTCACTGCCAAACAGCAGCTCTGACCAGAGTAAGAGCCCAGGACGTGCGTCTGAAGCAGCTGCACTGAGCTCTGTGGTGAAGGTCATGTGCTCCACGATCGGTCATCTGGGGGCTGAATGGCAGAGCAAGTGCCCACACAGGGACCATGGCCAGCCAGTGTCCTCACAAGGGAAAAGGCAGTACAGCGTGGGTCATGAAGACATCCAGTCAGTGGCGAGGTTACAAAAATTCACCTGGCCGTAAATCTAACAGAAACCGGAGTACTTGCCAAGCCAGACAGCAAACTCAAACTTAAGAAGAAGAAGGCTGTTCTGTTAAAACTACTTAAGAAACACTTTCCGCAGGCAAAGATTTCACTTGGCGCTGCATTCTCCGTAAGTGCTACACACGTTCCAGACAGGCAGGCACAATGCTCTCACTTCTCCAGGAAACAATTTCAGAGCAGCACAAGCTGTAATTAGTCATAATCTCCAAGGAAGGGAAAACGGGCTGTAGCGTTCACAAGGTATTCTACCTCCATCTTCAAGGTTATCCTGCAGTGACCTGTGAAATTCCCACACTTGCTTTGTGGAAAGGGTGGAATTTCCCTCGGGCCCTTGGAAGAGGCTATACTTAAAGGTCAAATGAATGCCTTTACTTTGAATCATCATTCGGGGTCTAAAAATCACACACAAAGATCCTGAAGACTCCTACCAGCTTTAACAAAACCTTTGACAGCAATTTCCTTCAGGTCATTTACCAACCCAAAGACCCTGTAGGGCTCAGGTGGGGAAATGTAAAAATAATTTAGAATATTAAAGAGGCCAATACTTCACCACTAAATAAATTACTTCAGACAATGGACAGCAGCTCGGGGCCAAGCATGCAATTTCTTCCCAAGGAGAAAACTACAGGTCCAAACCAACAACAATTAATGACCTAAGGATTTATTAACTCATCACTTCTTATTTATCTCAGTGGAGTACAGAAAATTCCAGACTGAAACTCCATTAACTGTTTAAAAGAGTTCTCTTCTTCATGATGGCTACCACTCAAGTTGTGCTGAATTTCCTAAAGGCAACAGGTAACAGTGGATCCACAGCAGACCAAACTCAGAGCCTAAATTTCACAGGGAAATTCAGAGCCTAAAAGTTAGCTGTGTGAACCGCAAGTAGAAAATCAAAACATGACTCAAATGAGTGAGAAAGGGGCTTCCTGATACCCCAGAGAGTGCAGATAAATCACAGCCTACACTTGCACATTCATAAGACTGTCCGAGTGGAAAGAACACGGCTTAGCGGCTGATAGTGCATGCGCAATAAATGAGACAAGGCAGATACACAGGCCAAAGGGAATGAAGGGACAAGGCAATTCCAAATCCACATTTTTTATTAGGTTATTTTAAGCAATTATGGTAAATAAGACCACCAATTTTTTTTAACTTTGACAGAAAAAAAAACACAAAGACTACATAGCTAATAATCATCATTCCAAGAAGGGCTGATAAAATGCTTAGGAAATGCCTTTCAGAGGAAGTAGAGAATATTTAAAAGATAAGTACTATTCCCCCTTAAGACCAAGTATTTTAAAACTCTACAGAAATGTTTCTGTCTACTTTCAGAAATTCACGCAGCCAACATCAATAAACCTCTTGCAGAAACAAATGGGAAATATCCATGTCTTAATATCTGGCTCATTATTTAAGCACCATTAACGCTCATTTCTTGTTTTTACCTCGGGATCCAAGTTTCTGAAAACGTACATTCTTGTCTTCTCCATCACTGCAAACAAGTCAGGATTGTCTTTGGCCCACTTCATATCCCAGACGTCTTTTCGCTCCAGTTTTAACAGCTCGCCAGTGACTTGCTGACCTGTACTGTCTGTTACCCGTACGTCCAAGTCAAAGAAAGTTAGCACCCCTGAGTTGTCGATGATAGCCAGGCGGCTGCAAACAATGAAATCGGGGAAGGGGAAAGCTGTAAATTACTATCAGCAGTCATGGGTGTAATCACCCATAACCAGTCTTCTTCAAAATCGGCTCATCAGAACCTGGAAATACAGTAGAAATGGCTTTAAATAGTAACTGATTTTAAACGAACTTTTATAAATTTGATAGAAGACATGGACTACCCTCCACTTTGCTGCTTCCTTGTGAGGAAAGGACTAAAGCAACTGGTATATAAATAATTTTAAATATTACACTAGAATTTCTAGATTTTGCCCAGCTAGAAATACCATACAAGAAATATAAATACCATACAAGAAATACAAATATTTAAATACAAACAAAGTATAATAAAACCACATTAAACTACAGACAAGTTGAAGCAAACACACACCTTTGCATTTATTACAGAAATCCAACAATCCAAACTGATAACTTCTAAATCAGACACCTGCCTGAGGGAGTTTTTAGACTTACCTGGAGTTGCAGTTCAGCGATAGCTGGTTGGCTCGACACTTAAGGGAATATTTTTTAATCAAACCAACATTAGGAAGGCTGTATCTCTGAATGGTGCCAGATTCACGACCCTATGGAAATAGTTTATCATTACTAAAGCAAATTTGCCATAATAACATTACATTACATTACAACTACAGAACTCACTACATGTACATACATTTGTTTCAAAATCAAAGTGTTGGTATCATAGTGAATTCCTTGTGCTACTGAACCATGTTATTGACTACATATTTACCTCCTAAGTTAATGAAAACCTTTTAAAAATGGCAGAAAGAGATCCATTTTTTTTTTCATATAGTATTCAAAAGAAGTCAACAACCTGGTCCTTCAATAATACATACATTCTTATATCACAAGGAAGAAATACTTAGTATTATTTACAGTTGTTGTCTAGGGTGATAATTAGGGCACATTAAAAGCTAAAATTTCACTTATATGAAAAATCAATACAAGATCACCCCATGAAACAGCTGCTACTGAAAGTCTCCCTGCAACGACTCTATCCAGTACCAGCAGTCTTTCCAATACGCGTGTGCAGTGAAGGTAGATGATCAAACAGCAGTGATACAATCAGTGGGCGTTGAAATGGGTTTAAAAGTAAACTAGAGTGCAAGCTTCCATGCAACTCTGTGCAAGCCTTAAGGAGGGAACTGAGGTGTCAAACCTTCTGTGCCTTGAGCCGCGTAAAGGGACAGCGGGGGCCTCCCCTCCGACACAGCAGCGCTGCCCCTGCAGCTCAGTTCTCAGGGGGCCCGTCAGAAAGGCTGGGGAGGCCCGGGGGCTGCTGAAGGAGGAGGATATGGCTTAACGTAGAAAAGGGACGTGTGGGGTTGAAAAAATTTAATAGATCGACAAAATGAGATTTTGTTTTTGAAAACAGGGGTCCTGTCCTGTGGCTTAAAAAGTTTAAAAGGTAATCGTTGTAAAAACTGTTCACACGCCACAGGGGAAACAGTCTGCAACGCAGAGGTGACCTTCTCCACTCAGACGTCTGGCCGGTACTGACCACGCGAGTGCGTTTCTCACAGGTAGGCTCTGTCATTTAGGAATCGGGTCAGTGTCTGTGATCGCTCCAAGTTGCTTTTTTCTGCAAACATCAGAAACACACACACACAAACCCCTACCGCCTGGCAAATATCAAAAGAAAACAAGAGGCTCCACAGACCTAAGACCAAATACACACTTAAAACACACACCAAGACCACTGGGTGAGGAAGTATGAATACTGTGTCCTTAAAAAAATTTCCCCCTTAAACTAATGGCTAAAGAAAATAACTGGAACTGGAAACAGACACTGTTAAGGCTTTGGTAACATAATTCAAATTCAATGCCTCTACCAGCATTACTATTTTAAACACTACCTTTTAAAGTAATATTTTCTAATGTCAGAACTCAAGAAAAGATACCATACACTGATGTTCTTTGAAAAGTTTAGCAGATAGTTGCCATGTACTTCTTCACCTTCCCGGCCAGCAATCCCACCGCCTCTTCATGCTGAGCCTTTTCAAAGCCGCTGAGCCAAAGCACCTTCGCCAGGACAACAGAGCCGGCCACGCAGAGGGGGAGCCTTCCTCGGACCTACAGCCACTGTCCAGCCTGCCCCACTTCTGCCAACCCCTCAGGGGCTCCTGCCACCCAGTGCCCAGCGCTCCCCAACGGGCCCCATTCTACTGCTTTTATAAACAGCTCTTTCTGCAAAAGTGACATTTTGTGAGGCAATCTTGTAGACTTTCTCATTTCTTATGTTGGACTCAGTAACACGCAAAGTGCCCCATAAGATGATATTTAAGTCCAAAATATATTGCTTTACTCTGTTTTTACAATTTAAACAATTATTATTCATAAAATAAATTTTTCACAACTTACCACAATCAAGGTCTTATCAGATGCAGTTATGGCACAAATTGGATCCCTCGTGCCCTAAAATAAATCAACTGTTATTCTTTAACAAATATTTATCAGATGATAAGTCTGCTCTAAGGTAGCATGCAGTTCAACAACACACTTACTGACCAACATTTACCAACCGAGCACCAACTGTGTGCTGGGCGGTGATCTAGGCCCTGGAGATACTCGGATGAAGTCTTTACCCTCTGGGAGTAGTCAAAAGCCCCCGGGAGAAGGCAGAGAACCAAACACCTAACTGCAGTACAGTATGGAAAAAAAAAAAAAAGAGGCCCACGCAGGCATTTTGAGAGCACAGAGGAAGAGGCAGCTCACTTACACAGACATAGTCAGGGAGGCAAAAATCTGAGCTTACTCATAAAAGACGAAGAGTGGGCAGAAGGCCCCGCCAGGCCAAAGTGAGGAAGGGAGAGAGGGCCCGGCATTGCCGCGGCCTGGGTGGCTCTCAAGAGCTTACGCTCAGTGAAAAGCAGCCCATCTGCACAGGTTACACGCTGTCTCATTCCATTCATAAAACATTCTCAGGGGCGGGAGACCAAAACAAACTAGGGATTCCCAGGGGACAGGGATGCAGTAGAGAGTGGGTGTGGAAATGAAGACAAGTTCCTTCATGACGGTAAAACCACATACAACTATGCACATGCGCATAGGTGTAAAAACTAGTGCAAACAGTAACGAATCGGGTCACGGTTTAAAAGTAATAGTACCACTGGCAATTTCCTGATTTTAACATTATACTACAGTTTTATAAAACATCACCACTGAAGGAAGCTGGGTAAAGAGGTTCTATGTGCTATTCTTGCAGCTTCCTGTGAGCCTATGGTTATTCCAAAATAAAATGTTTTTAAAAATCAAAAAAAAAATAGCAGATCTGGAAAAAAGTTTTCAGAATAGAAAAAAAAGTTTTTTTAAATTACTAGAATACACTAGCTGGTATAACCCAGTGGATTAAGTGCCAGCCTACAAACCAAAGGCTCACCAGTTCAATTCCCAGTCAGAGCACATGCCTGGGTTGAGGGCCAAGCCCCTGGTCGGGGGGCACATAAGAGGCAACCACACATTGATGGTTCTCTCTGTCTTTCTCCCTCCATTCCCCTCTCTCTAAAAAAATACATAAAAACTTTTTAATTATTAGAATAATATGCTATCACTGGCAACAAATTCATTTTTAGATCTCAAAATAAAATTATAGTACATTCAAATCTACAGATACTAATATTTGACGGTAGCAATAAAATCACCTACTTGAATGGCTTTACTATAATCAAGCACCCCATCCACTGATCCAGAAGGAGTATCATCAACATGATAAATTCTGGAAAAAAAATCAGAACTTCAAAGAGAGTGTAAAGGTTATACTATTCAGAACCTCTAAAACAGCTAGACTGGAAGGCACCAATGAATATTGTTAATATAATTTTCCTTATTAGTTTAAAGAGTTCTCGACAAAGCTCAGTCTTACAAAGGTAGATATTATCTGCCAGGTGTTCACTAGTTATATAAGTGATATGCTCCTGAAAGCTGTGCCGAAATATATCTGAACACTGAATCATGTATTTCCAATGAATTTCATTAAGCTGCAAGAGACATTTTCCTCACTCACCAATGAACGTCAGTCAGGAGTGACATCTAATACACTAAGTCTCCCTGTTGTTTCTCCATAACTTCCCTTCTATCGATGTGCTTAATGAAAGTAAAACTTAAATGTATTGGGAATTTTTGTTCTGAAGTAAAGAATCCTTCTCTGTTTACTGCGCTAGGAAGACGCCCTCCGTCTGGAGTCTCACCTCTCTGACACCTTTATTTTAATACTTATTCGCACGGCAGTGTCACTGCTGGTTCACTCGCCTTTCCCAAGAGGTGGTGAGTCTCCTGGAGACAAGGACTGTTTGTCCAGCGTGTGGCACATGGCTGCACACTGCCAGGTGCTCTATGATGCATGATGAAAAAAAATTCAAATGAATGGAGATAAATAGAACAGATACATCATGGAGTAGCTATGAGGCCCTGGACAAGTTGATTAACTTCTCTGAACCTCAATTTCTCCATCTGTATAAAAGGATGACAGTTCCTCCTTTGGAGGGTTTTGAGAGGCATAACTAAAATTGTATTGATGAAGCATACACATACACAGCCTGACACAAAAAAAGGATTTAAAAAATTGTTGCTACCCTGGCTGGTGTGGCTCAGAGGATTGAGTGCAAGCCTACAAACCAAACGTTCACCAGTTCAATTCCCAGTCAGGGCACATGCCAAGGCTGCGGGCCAGGACCCAGTTGGGAGCATGTGAGAGGCAAACACACACTGATATTTCCCTCCTTCTCTTTCTCCCTCCCTTCCCCTCTCTCTAAAAATAAATAAATAAAATATATTTTAAAAAATTGTTGCTGTAATATAATCACAGGAAAATCAAACCATTTTCCATCTTTAAAACATCACGAAATTTTATCACTGTTTAACTGAAATCATAATTGTGCTTTCATCAACGTAACAAAGAGATCAACCATTAAATTTAATAGAAATATATTAAATATAGAAAGGTGGGCCAATTTAGAGGTACCATGTTACTGCATCTTAATACATTTCTCTTAAGTATACGCAGTCACTATTTCTACTTAGTTATCGGAAATAAAAGTCGAAATAGGTATCTAGAGACATCTGACCCACCTCCCTCTCTTAAAACAAGTGGGCACGACAGAAAAGGCCAATCTGCAGAAGTGGCTCCAAGGCCAGATGAACTGCCTCGAAGTCTGGTCTCTGCTTATCACCTGGTGCCCTTCGGCAGATAACCTAAGCTTGTTGTGTCTCAGTTTCCTCTCTGTGAAAGAGAAATGATGGGAATACTGACTAATTGGAATACAGACACAGACTTTCCAGTGTCTGGCACGTAAGAAGTAATCACTATTAACTGTTATCAACATCATCAACTGTATTTTACAGATGAGGAAGCTGAGGACCAGCGAGAACTAGCCCAAAGTCACTAAAACTAGTAAAGGTATTCCAGACAGAGATACAAGAAAAGGCTGCCTTCTCCATTCAAACAAAGCCAGGACCCCTTTAGCAGGCTCACAGAGGACACTAACTCCACCGCGTGGAGGGACTTCCCTGCCCAGCTCTGTCCTGGGCTCTGCCTGCTGTCCCCACCCTCACTGATTCCACCACAGCCACAGACTGTCCTCAAAGAGGCTGAGGGTTATTCCCGCTGAGGCTTTCACAAGCACCAAGAAGCCAAGATACAGTATTTTTCAACTTTTCTTTCCTGCTCCCATGTGAACTCCCAGATCCAGAATACTTTTACTGGGCACATGTCCCCTATCTTAGCACGTGAGTGAGCCTTAAAGGGAAGGGAGGAGATGATGTGAAAGAGGAAACTGGGCCCTGGCTGGTGTGGCTCAGTGGACTGAGTGCTGGCCTGTGAACCAAAGGGTCTCTGGTTTGATTCCTGGTCGGGACGCATGCCTGCGTTGTGGGCCAGGTCCTCAATGGGGACATGCAGGAGACGGCCACGCCTTGATGTTTCTCTCCCTCTCTTCCTCTTACCCTTCCCCTCTCTCTAAAAATAAATAAATAAAATCTATTAAAATATTTCTAAAAAAGGAACCTGGGATTTCTGACATGACTGCAGGCTTTCCACCCCAACACAGGCCTATGCCCTCATTAAGACTCGTTAGGTTAAAACATTCAACAAAATGCTTTACTTAATGGCTTAGGTTAAGCACTAAAGGGCAACACACACACAGTATCACTGAGAGAGAACTTCCAAACCACAGTAAGTGCATCTGCACCTTGAGACTTCCTACAGAGAATCCCCCGTCTGGGCCCCTGACTTCTCCATGTGGTACTGCCCTCTTACCCCCAGTCACCAGAAACAGCCCCAAACCCAGACTCCCTGGGATCCAGGGAAAGGGAAAAAGCCAAGTGACCAGTGCGCCCCCCTAAGGCCTCCTCCACATCTGTGTCTAAGGACCTGCCTCTGCTGGGGTGAGCAAAGGTGGGGTCACCCCACCCTCCTGTTTGTGGTGCAGGAAGACCTGCACCACGAACACACAGGCTTCACTCAATAGCCACATTTCGGTAGAACATTATGACTCTAATTTGGTGAGAGCAGATGAGTGAGAATAGCCACGTCCTTATAAAAACAGATCTCCAGCCCTGGCTGGTGTGGGTCTGTGGACTGAGTGCCAGACTGAGAGGCAAAGGGTCATTGGTTCAATTCCCAATCGGGGCACATGCCTGGGTTGCAAGCCAGGTCCCCAGTAAGGGGGTGCATGAGAGGCAACCACACATTGATGTTTTTCTCCCTCTCTTTCTACCTACCTTCCTCTCTCTCTAAAAAATAAAGAAATAAAATCTTTAAAAAAATAATAATAAAAACATAGATTTTCAATCTTTATCTCTAAAGACTGACTTTTATTATACCATGTTTACATCTCTTTTATTTTAATAAATTTAATGTTTACATTTGAAAGATATTCAAATTAACTGGAAAATATTATTTCTATTAATCGAAACAACTTACAGTTCTTGAGCATGACATTTACAACCATGTCTGAGTGAAATGTGGCTGAGGGGAGCATCTGAGGACTTGCTCCCCAGCGTGTCATCGGTCTGGCTCGAATAAACTCATACAGATTCTCTACAGGCTTTGAAAAATAAAGAATAGAATGGATTTGGTATGGTTGAGCTTCTAAAAAATATGTATCATAAGATATACCTTTCTCTTCCTTCTTTGCGAGACCGCATCATCTGATTAATTTCCAAAGCCGTGAGCTTCTTTGCCACACGATATTGCCAGGTATAAAATGCTTCTTTTGAAGCTGCAATCACGTGGGTTTTGGTCATTGTAACGAACAATGGTACTATTAAAAAGAACATGGAGACAATCAGGTTACAGTTACACAGAATTACAGACCGTGCTGCAAAGGACTTCAGTGATCACTGAGTTCAACCCCTCATCTCACAGACAACATACCCTACACACAGTCTGGGAAAGCAGATAGGAGTCAAAAGCTTGTAAAACCATACAAAAAAATTAATTCAAAATGGATCAAAGACCTAGCTGTAGAACTCTTAAGGAAAAAACGCAATAGTAGGTCTTTGTGACTTTGGGTTGGGTGATGGTTTCTTAAATATGACACCAAAAGCACAAGCAACAAAAGAAAAGTAGATGAAATGGACTTCATCAAAATCAAACACATTCGTGCTTCAAAGGACACCACCAAAACCCTGAAAAGACAACCCACAAAAGGGAGAATATATATGCAAATCACACACACGGTAAGGAATTATATCTAGAATATGCAAAGAACTCTTATAACTCGGAGACAAATAGCCTGACTGAAAAATGGGCAGCCCTGACTGGTGTGTCTCAGTTAGTTGGACATAGTCCCACAAAGCAGAAGGTCTCCAGTTCAATTCCCAGTCAGGGAACATGCTTGGGTTGTGGGTTCGGTCCTGGTCAGGGCCTGTAGGAGAGGCAATTGGTCCACGTTTCTCTCTCCCTCCCATTTTTTACATTGATGTTTCTCTCCCTCTCTTTCTCCCTCCCTTCCCTTCTCTCCAATAAATAAATAAATAAACAAATAAATAAATAAATATGTTTTAAAGAAAAGAAAAGAAAAATAAGCAAAGGACCTGAATAGAAACTTCTCCAATGAAGACATAAGAAATTAGGGAGGGAGGTAGACAGGGCAGGGGAGAGCAACAGGGGGGAAACTGGGACAACGGTAATTGAACAACAATAAAAACAATTAAGTTAAAAAATTTAAATATATAAAAATGACCACTAAGCAAATGAAAAGACGCTCGACAGCATGAGCCACCCGGCAAATGGCACAGTGCGACGCCACTCACAGCCACTGCACCTGCTGGGGTCAGGCGGTCAGACCTGAGGGCACGGTAGGAATGCAGAGCCATGCTCCTGAGGGCACGGTAGGAATGCAGAGCCACGCTCCAGACGGCCCAGCAGCCGCTCGAAGCGCCAGACAGAGTCACCACAGGCCCCAGCACCCCACGCTTAGGCACACCCAAGAGAAATGAAAACATGTTGTGCCCACACAAAAACTCACATGCAAATGTCCGAAGAGCATCACTCATAACAGCCGAAACGTAAAGACAGCCCAAATGTCCATTAACTAATGAATGGATACACAAAACCCCATTCTTTCCTTCCACCCCCACCGCCACTACCGCTTGGTTCCAACATTTATCCTTCCCTCTGCTCTCATATGTCTTATATTTCCTCATTAATTTAGAAAAGAAAATTCTGTAGAGGTCTTTCCTAATTTAGGAATATATTTTCCTAAACATACGACTTTTTTTCATATGTTCTGCTTCTTAGAGAACATTTATTTGAACTCCTACTACTATGTACCCTTCAGTGCAACAGACAGTCTCATCAAATCCATCCTACAGATAAAGAAATGGAGTGCTAACGAAGGAAAACTACTTGTCAAAGCCACAGACAAAATAAATAACATAAAATTAAACATAAGTTCACACAAAATATACGAAAACAAAAAACTCCTTCATAAAAGATCATTTTAGTACCTAATTTATGAATTCATGATTAAAATGGTACAAAAATTACTCTTCTACTCACAAATAGTATGAAAAGTCACCAATAGCAAAGAGTTAGAAACCAGCCTGATGGCTTAATGTTAACGGAATACATTAACAACTTGGGGATCCAAATTCAAGAATATTTAAATGCTAAACAACTCAGTATAGTGAATCGTATTTAATTTTTTTTTCCTTACCAGTGTCAGGATTTTTCTATTAAAAATGTGTGCTAGCACCAAACTCTAGAGGGAGACAGAAGCCTTTCCTGTGGGGAACTTTCCGTACAAAGGCGTTGGTGGCGCAAAGCCTGTGGCGGGTGTGCATGCGGAGTCAGCAGGCCAGGCCCAGGCTCCACTCCACCTTTGCTGACACCGTCTTCACTGAGTCCTGGGACCTTTGCAACAGTCTTAGTAAATTCTGTCCCGGACACTTTGATGTTAGTGACTATTACGCCCTTAATGTGATGCAAAGTTCACAAACCATAACTGCTTTCTAATAAAATAATCATTTTTCCTGAGCATATAAAAGCATTTCCCTTACCAATGTTTACCTGCAATTACAAATTACACTCATGCCCCTTTATTTTGATACATTCTAAACAATTACAAGAGTTTATCATTAGCTTGATTAAGTCAAAGTTAAAATGTTAATGGTTCACAGTAGAAGTCAGACTTCTAGTATTCAAATCACAGCCACTTGCTAACTCTGTGGCCTCAGGTAAATTATGTATTCTCTCTGAACCTCAGTTTACTTACTGTAAATTAAAGATAATAATAATAATACCAACTTTATAAAGTTGCTTTAAAGATTAAAATAAATAATAAGTAAAAAGCATAGTACAATGCCTGGCATAGAATAAATGCTTAATAATGATATAGTTATAATGTATAAATACGCTTACATCAATACATAATCAGTATATCACGTGTATGAACTCACAACCGCTCTCTCAGGTGGACATTACTATCACCATCATTCCCATTTAGCAGACGTGGAAACCTAAGGATGAAATGGCCAAACAACCTGCTGAAGCTGCACAGCCAGACAGCAGTAGAAGCCAGGGCACAGACCATGGTAACGGCTCCAGATCTCTGCTCACAGCCACTACTACAGCTGCGGGTTACTGAGCGTTAGGGGTGGTTGCTATCATTGTTTCTACTTGTATTACTGACATAGGCCTGCACAATAAAACCACATACAGATCCTCTAGTCCATACAAAAAACAAAATATGAATACATCTGGAACATCTGCTCTTCTGAATCGATATGGCAGTTAATTTCAGTAAATTTGCACAGGTAGCTAACCCTCTGTCCATAATTATGCCCAATCTCTACTAAAAGATCCACCCCATGCAGGTAGATTGGCTCTTAGTTTCCTAGACCTAACCTTTAGGAAAAAGTTAGAAAAACAAACTTTAACAGGATATTCAGGAAGAAAACGCAACCAAGATAAAAACACTCCATCTCCTGCTCAGCTATTTAACATCTGGAAAGGGAAACTCAGTATCCACGACTATTAGAAAAAATCTTGAAGAAAGTAGTTATGCTTTCATTAATTAAACTTTGTGATGCTAGGGGGTAGTAATTACTAGCCCCACAAGGATTTAAAATGATTTTTTTTAATCCATGAATTCACATAGAAGTAAAACCTGCTTGTATGATATTTAAGTGCTGAGGACTGAATTAAATGTCTAATCTGTAATGTTCCCCCGCTTTCCTAAGTTTCATTTCTCAGCCCTTCGAGGGGCTGGCAAACTGAAGCCGCACTGAAGCGCTCTCACCAATGACCCCTCTCTGGAACACAGACAGAGGATCCGTGTGTGTGCTCCAGGGCCCCGTTTGAATGCTGCTCCTTGCTCCCCCAACACGGCTGTGGCACAGGCACCTGGTACTTTTCAGGCACTTTTCATGCCTTCGTTCCTCTACAAACGCTGTTTTCTCTCCTGAAAATATCACCTGAAGAATGCCTTTCAAAACCCAGCTTACATGAAACCTTCTCTAAGCAGGAAGGACATCCCTGACATCCTCATGCACTGGTACCCACTCATGCAGCACCCAGCACCACACCTACCACACCGCAGGGAGGAACAGTCCTTGTCCAGTGGATTAGCCACCTTGTAATCATTCGTTTAGACATCCTACAGGAGATGTCATTATTAATTTCTTATCCCCCCCTGTACCCAGTACAGTACCTGAAACAATATATGTTCATTGATGGTGTACCATATAAATAGATTCTGTTTTAAATCTTTTCATACATTCAATAAACAATTGTCATGGTGCAAGTACAGTCCTAGGCAATGGGGGTACAGAAATGAACAGATGTAGACCTTTAAGAAGCTCAAAATCATATGGGGAAGGAAGACAAGAAAATGAACAATCACAGTGCAGAGTGAGTACTTTGAACAGAAACACACCAAAGGTGTTGGGGGCTCAAAGGAAGAATCCCAAAAAGGGTACTGACTACTCCGTGTACAACAGAGGCCCCCAGGCGGAACTTCTATAATAATGCACACAGCTCTCTTCTTGAGTGTCTACAGAAACCGTCAGGAGGAAGACTAAGTGGCAAAACAGAAATCACACTTTCTACAATAATAGCAATTACTTTTTCTCCTTTAGCCTCCAGTCCTCATGAAAATTTGGCATAAAAACTTAAAAATGAAATTTTACAGTATGAAAAAAAATGTGGAGTCTTGGCAGAGTTTACTTTGGCAGTAAACCAATGAAAGGACTGTTTGTTAAAATTTCAGCCACAGAGACTGCAAAAAAAGTTTCTAGACTCAAAACTACAAATGATCATGCCCTCAAGCATTTACCATTATGAAGGTGAAGAATTTACTTCTGGCTTTATTTAAAAATAGAATATCTGCAATCAAAATTACTTTAAAACTAATCCTATCATCATTATGATTCTATGTTAAAACTTGATATTAAAAGAAAAAGCATATAAGCCCTGGCTGGTGTAGCTCAGTGGATTGAGCACGGGCCTGCGAGCCAGACAATCGGGGTTCGATTCCCAGTCAGGGCACATTCCTGGGTTGCAGGCCAGTTCCCTGCAGGCCAATTCCCAGCAGGGGACGCATGAAAGGCAACCATACATTGATGTTTCTCTCGCTCTCTCCTTGCCTTCCCCTCTAAAGATAAATAAATAAAATTAAAAGTGAAATAAAAAATTAAAAAATAAGCAAAATGATATAAAGTGTTTTAAAAAAAAAGCATATAATCTGAAGATTGGTAGAATTCATTCCTTAGACTTTTGTTTGTAATAAATAGAAGATATTCATGTGACAAGTACGTAATAATTTTAAGCTAAACCTTTTAACAAGGAACGCTAACATATATATACACACATATATAAACATATAAATACACCTATGTAACAACAAATATAAGACATGAAGTTGAAAAGTTTCAAGATATAAAAATGAGTTCCCAAGACCCTAAATATAAAGTATAAAATCTCTGAGGCCAGTAAATGTATCTCAAATTCGCTTGTATTACCTACCCAAAGGGCTCAGCAAAATAAAACACTTAAAAGGCAGATACATTTGATTGTTAAGGCTAAATGTGAAATCTGAAGGAAAAAAACTGGTTCTCCGATTCAGAACATACCAGTAATTCCTGGTTTTCAAGTTGTTGAAATCTAGTAATTTTTCTAATACCATATCCAACAACTACCATACACTCTGAAAGAAAACTATTACTTCTGGAAGTTGTAGTGAAAGAGCAAGAAAATATTTGGTAATAATTTTTAACAAAATACTTAGAATAAGACTTGAAATTTCTTAATGATTACTTTCATAGCTCTTGGTTACAGGAAATGGTACATCTGAAGCAGCAAATATCTGAAAACGAAAAGGCAGGATTTTTTTAAGTTGTCCCTATTAATAGACATGCTTCACTGGAAAATCCTGGAAAAAGAAAACTCACTTTTATAAGCAGCTAAGTGTTCTTTATGGAACAGAGGTATTTACAGGCAGTTTATTAATAACAAAAGTGGTTTAAGGGCAAAATGCTTTCTATAATTCTCAGTTTATTACATACTAATCATTACATTGCATACCAATTCCTACACAATTATAATTCCCCTTTAAAGCAAATGATGGCAGTGTAGCAGCTGTGAGATTATTAAGGATTTTAGATGAAATAACCTTGTAATTGATTGTATTAGCCAGGATACTACTGGTTAATTCAGTGAAACAGAGCATTATTAACGGCACCATGATAAAAGGCATAAGCTGGATCTGGCAGACCGGGAGTATGCCCATCCTTATTTTGGAGAACACCATTCTAATTTGAAAATATTGTTAGGTTTTTGACTTAGCTTTACAAATAAAACTTCATTAGAGAGTGAATAAATATTAACATTTCCTTACCAATATCAATGTATTTGGGATCCAAAGGTGTACCAATAGAATTACAAAGAACAAGCACGTACTGTGAACAAATAAAACAAAAGGCGTCAGAACTCCTATTTACGTACAACAAAGGAAATAACGCTTAACATCTCATGCTCATCTCTTTTTCAAGTATCACTAACTAAGAAATAATGGACAAAATTAAGTAGAAGCACAACAGATAAGTATAATCTATAGCATTTAAAATAAAGAAATATAAATTAAAATTAAACCAAGACTGATTTCTCAATAACGGAACACTGTGGTTATTAACAGGCCACTTAAGAAACACAAATACACTGGCTAATTTTCAGTATTTATACTTCTAAAATTATTGATCAGCTATCACCTCAATATTCACTTTTATCCTATGACCAGCTATAAAAGCTAATTTAATTTGTTACCGTTGCACCAAATGTTTCCATCTCGCTCTCCTCCTTTGAAGCAATATATAAATAACATGAGAAATTCAGAAAATTTCAGTTAATTTAGAAAAAACATAATCCAACCCAGTGAACATGACTTAAAATGCCCATTAGTTAACACATACCAAATAAGGATCAACAACTCATACTAGGAAAACGATCGAGCATACTATACACTCTACAGTGACTGTTTCGTTTTTAACTTTTACTCTCAGGCACCTCTTCTGTATCTCGTACCAGGAAGAATAGTGAGAATACTATTTTATTTAGATGTTATCCTGATTAAGAGAATGACTTCAAATTAACCAGCCTTCCATGTACTATTACTATTACTATTACTATTACTATTACTATTACTATTACTATTACATACCAACTTTGTCTTTCTTTTCCTAGCATCTCAAGTAAAACTTGTTTAATTTCATAAATATAATCTAAATGACAAAAATTATACTAAAACATCATAATTTACTCTTCCACTACTTAAAATAAGCTTACTTCCTGCCATGAAATACCACAAGTAACTTGTATTTTTTAATTTACTTACCGTGTACATGCTCACAGACTCAAATAGTTCCACGAGACTTCTTACCAAAAATACAAGTCTCCCCCGCTAACTTTCCAGTTCTTACTCCCTAGAGTAAATATAAACTTTTGGCTTCTTAAACTCATCCCCTGGATGTCCACCTACACAAACCTAAGTACTAACACATTTAGTCTGCTTGTTTCGTTTCGATTAGGACACTGTCCACAGACTCCCCACCATCAAAGACACCCGCCTCGGAGTGGCTCCCACCACGGGGTGGCTCCCACCACGCAGGAACACACTTCCATCCTCCCTTTCTCCACTTAAAAATGTGTTAGGTCAGAATTTAGGGTTTAATGAGTTTATTATACTTCACATAAGTTTTTTAACTAAAAAGCCTAGTACATCATTCTGACTATGTAAATACTACTCACCGATGAGTATGTCATGGATCTATTCTCCTTTCCAGCACATTTTGCTTTATTTGTCTTTACTTTTTTCTCTTTGCTGTTTTCTCTAATTATTACTAACAAGTCCCCAATTACCTCCCGGTTACGCACATCTCCTCCCAAGGGTTCAACTACACTACAAATTCTACTGACTTCATCTGGAACCTCCTCCAGAACTGTGTGACCGCTGTCTCGTGATGGCGCCCTGGGCACACTGCACAACTGTCCCCGGGACCACTCTTCACCACTGCTCTCGAGTTACCCTGTTTCTCCCCCTTTCTTACTTTATTCCTCATTTTGGTAGACCACATCCTGGAGTAACTTTCTAAGATCAGGAAGTCCGTAGGGTAAATTTTTAGTGAGCCTGTATATCTAAAAATGTCTTTATTTTACCTTCATTTTAAGTAATACTTCACTTAAGACATGGAATTCAAGATGGGAGATCATTTTCCCTCAGAATTTTGAAAGCAATTCTCCAAAGTATTATTGTTGACGAGTTGAATGCCAATGTTACCTGATCCTACAGAACGTTTTTCCTCTTAGAAAGTTTGCAGGGTCTTCTTTGTATCCCCAGTGCTCTGAAATATCACAATGATGTGACTTGATACAGAAATATTTTTCTTCAGGGAAATTTTCTTGCTTTTTTCTCAGAATTATTAGCCTCCATTATGCCTGTTCACTCTTTTTAAGGCTGTTACCCAAATGCTAACCTTCTGGGACCAGTAGTCTAGTGTCCTTACATTTTCACTTCTATTCTCTATTTTCTTACCTTTTTGCTCCACTTTCCCTTCATTTTCTCATCTAACGCTTCTTTCAAGTTTTTCATTGCTGCTATCATATCTGCAATTTCCACACGTTTCCTTTCCTATCGTACACTTTCCTGCTTTATGGATGTAATTTCTCTTAATTCTCTGAAGATACCTGAAATGATTCTGTTGTTCTTTCCGAATAGCCTCTGCTTGCTCCCAGTTCCTTTCTCCTTGTGTTTATTTTCACATTAAATTGGATGATTTTCTTAAGTCTCTGATGACCCTTGTCTGTGCGCTTACACTGAAGAAGGTGCCGCTAAAACGCTGTCTGGAACCTGTCTGTTCATGGGTTAGCCTCCTCGACTCTGGTCCTCAGAGTGAGGTGAATGGGCACGGACATTTCCCTGGGACTCCCAACGGGGCTACTTTGGGAGGTCTTTTCTCTGGAACTGGTCCGACTCTCTCAGAGGACTCTTCCAACAGCCTGTGTTCTGGGGGCCAAGTCGAAAAGACGACAACGAGGGGAAACAGCGTGGTACCCTCGTGACTCAACTGCCTGCTTCTCAGCAGGTCCCCCGCCCCTTACCTGCACTTGGCGCCCTTCAGTGCAGAAACTCCAGCCTCTCTGAGGGGTAAGCCCCGGTCTGCGCATGAGATGAAGGGCAGCCGCCTATGGCCTCAGTGGGGGCAAGAGATCTAGAAACTGCTTCTTTGTATGCATCTTTTTACAGTTTTCTCCTTCCTGTACGATCTCTGGCACTTCCAAAGTCATGTTCTGTCTGTTTCTTCCCCCACCTGGAGCCATCCAGAGCTGTGTCCCTTGGGGACTCTGCAACAGAAACTGGCTGCTTCTTTGCTTTCTCCTCTGATGAGTCAGGATTCCGAGCTCTTAGGTCTGCTAAGGTGATTACCACCAACCCACCGCTTCTCTGACCTCCAGAACTAGGTTGCCATTTCCTCTCCCTTTCTGGTCCCTATGGGCTTACGACTTCTCTAAAAATACCTTGTTTTAGTGAGTTTCAGGAGAAAACAGCCAAATGTGCCTGTTCAAATGGCCACTTTAAACCAAAAACCTTACACTTTTTAATGAGATAAAATAATTTATAACACAGCCAAAGACAGCAGCAGTCCTTTCTTGAAAAATTTACATGTTTCTGCAAATATTTAAACTGTTAGCATAACCTTTTTAAATGGCATTATTTATATTTTTTATTTTGTGGCACAAGACAATGATTTTTAAATCAATATAACTCTGAATAAAAGTACATTTCGCCATGTCAAAGCTACCCAAAGTGTTACAGTGGTCACTGTTATATTTCTTCAACGTGTATTATACTAGACATCTGGATATTCATTTCTACTCATGAAATTTTAACTTGGAAAAGAACTGTGCTATTTTAAATATATTTCAGAGACAAAAAGCTTCAGTACTGAAGTAGTCAATATAAAATGTCAGTAGATTAGCAGATTGGGGGAAAATATCAAGGGACGTAGAACCAATGGGGTCATAGCATTTGTCCAAAACCGAGGTCTAGCCCGACATGCCCAGCAGACCCGATACTCCACTGCCCCTGCCGCAGAGGCCGTGCTTGGGAAGGCGCGTAACTGCAGCCCGACGCTGCCAGGTGGCTGACCCAGCTGAGTCTTATCATATCGAGGAACCTACCTGAGGATGATTTTCATCAGCTTTCGTAGCCAAAATGCAGAAATCTCCACAGGTTGTAATAGAAATGAGACTCTTCACATATTTAATGTATTTCTCATTGTTTTTTGTATCCCAAAATATAACACAGTACTCCGGACGATCAGGTCGGGTATAAGCATAAACTATAGTATTTGAGCAATAACCCCACTAAGAAAAAATCAAAGGAGGAAAGGAAGGGGGAGAGGAGGAGGGAAGAAGAGAAAGAAAAACAGAAAAAGGGAAAAAGGACATTTAAGACTGGAAAAGAAAAACTATATTATCATATTTTTACTCTAGAAATACTACAGATATGTGGTTTATCAGTTCTGACAAAATATATTCTTCAGAAATGGATGACAGACTGAACATTCAGCTTAACACCTTTTCTCATTAAAATAACAAAAAAATCTAAGAATAAATTAAATAAATTTTTTAAAATAAAAAAAGAAAAAAAACAATTATCTCAAAATATTATCTAGGCATAAAGAGAAAAAAATTATGTTTCTTCTCCCAAAGTTATATTCATACCTTCTTTTAAAAGCCAGAGTATATCAAGTATATACTCTACATGTTCTTTAAGTCACAATAATAAACAACAAAACTCTATTAGTTATTGGGGAAAAAATCTAAGAGTAATAGAGATAGTTATAAAACAAATTACATACTGCAAAAATAAATTTGTTTAACTTCCCTTATTTTAATTTGTAAAATTCAAGCTTCAGTGGTGAAAATTTCAGACTTTTCAATGGTCAATAATTGCTGTGAGGGGGACAACAGGAAGAGTGAACCCTGCCACAAGTTTAATTCTGCTCCCCAAGCCAAATTCAAAAACAGATGCTTTGCCTTCCCCGCACTGCCCCGCCCCCAACCACATTTTTAAAACTTTTTTTTATCAGAGTAGCATGTGCACAGAGTTTATAGTGAAATAATTCCTCATGGGCTATTCAAAATGAAAACAAAACAGAGACCCGTCCTAATTTCCCCCCAGGGTAGCCATTTACGACTCTGCTAGCTGCAGCGGGTTTGGTACTGATCTCCACATCACACAGGCACTGACTACCGAACTTGGACACTCAGAGCTTTCCCCTCCTGCTAACTCTCCCAATATATGTGTGCAATTTTGAACAACTCGATATTCAGAGCCGACACTATTATGACTGTGTTTACTATTCAAAGCTAAGCCACGTTTACCTTTTATACCAGGATTACTTTAAATTTTTTTTTTACTTTAAAATAATTTCAGATTTCTAAAAAAGTTACAAAGATAGTATGCAGCTCCTTATACTCTTCTCCCCTGTGCCCTGTTGTTCACACCTCTCATCACCACGGAGCATTCGTGACAACTAAGAACCAACACTGGTGAAGTACTATGCTCCGAACTCCGTACTCATCTGGATTTCATCAGTGTTTCCCTACTGTCCTGTTCTCTTCCAGAACCCTTCCGAGGATATACTCAGTCATTCTGCCCCCTTAGGCTTCCCCCAGCTGTGATGGGTTCTCGGTCTTTCCTGGGTTTTGATGGCCTTGACAGTTTTGAGAGATACTGGTCAGATACTCTGTAGAGCGAACTTCAGTTTGGGTTTGTCGGACGTTCTCCCCACGCCCAGATGAGGACTGTCGGTTTCCAGGAAGACACCCGCAGCAGTGGAGAGCTCCTCTGCTGCGTCACATCACAGAGCATGTGATGTCCGTGTGATGTCACCTTGGTCACCTGGACAAGGCAGCGCTTGCCAATTTCCTCCACTGTAAAGTAACTTTCTTTTATTTCCCTTTTCATCTGTACTCTTTGGAAGCGAGTCACTAGATGTGACCCACACCCAGATTGGGGAAGAGGAGCAACTACACTCCACCTCCTGAAGGGAGGGGCGCCTCAGTCACTCCAAATACTTCCTTAGGGAAGATTTGTTTCACCTCCTGCATTCACTTTTTATAATTATTTACTTATACCAGTTTTATTATTTGGGTTACATTCCAATGTTACTTCATTTCCTTAGTTGCTCAAATCAATCCACCTTTGGCCACTGGGAGTTGGCCAATGTCGGTTCTCTCCAGCGGCCCCTTTGTCTCTTTGACAGGCCCCCATCCTCTGTCTTTTAAGCGCTTCCTACTTTCTGACCCTGGAAGATGCTCCAGGCTCATCTTGCACTTTCCCCACACTAGTCCTAGAATCAGCCATTTTTCCAAGGCCTTTTAAAAATTAGATACATAAGCATTTGATTAACAAATACTCTTAGTAGTCTACCAGCTCAATCGTGTACTTTAGAACTCATTTTGCATCAAACATTCAATTTAAGATAAAATAAAATGCTCATTAGTTATTATGCTGCTTCTTCTCATTTTCCCTCTGATCCACGCTCTGCCCTTCTCTACCCGGCCTTGTGCCCCGGAGGCTGCCTTCTATGAACGGCATTCCCCGGGCCACCTTGCCTTCTGGTTTGGCCAACAGAAGACAGCAGCAGGTGCAGACAGGGCTGAGGCATTTCCTCCTCCGAGCTGCCTCTGCCCGGCCAGGGGCAATGGCTGTGCTCCTACAGGGCAGCCCCTCCTGCACAGCCAGCACCCTGGTGGGCTCCAGGACAACGCCGCCTCACTTGCCCACTGTTGCTACGTGCTCAGTGGGCATCCCTTACCGGTCCCCCGAACCCTGCCACACCCCTGTAATAAACCCTGCATCAACCTCTCTCGAGGACTCCTTTGAATGTGCCATCTGTTTCCAGCCGGGACCCTGACTGTTGGAGTGATGCTACTAAGTACACAGCGTATCCTAGAAAAGCTTCCTAGTTCTGAGGTCATCACACTGAAAGCCTCCTTTCAGCTGGCTTCTGAAAGAGGCCGTGAATAGATGCAAGAAATATAATTATACTTTGAGCTATAACAAAATTATTTAGTAAATAAGCAGCTTTTTTTAAATAACTGCTCATAACACTCACCTTATAATCAGGTCGAATATTTGCAAAGTATATAAAATAATCAACAGCTAGTGCAATTTTCAGCCCACCTCCTTCCCAAGACAGTGCAGAGATCTGCTTTCCAGAAACCTTCAAAGTGCCTAGAGACTGAAAAAACAATTACATTTAACCCGAAGTACCACAGTTAAATAAAGTACAAACTATCACCTGACAGGGATCAAAACTGGCATAAAAATTATTCTGTGAAAGGCTGCTACTCACTTCAAAATCATTTCCCTGGATTTTTATAATGAAAACTATACATATGATAGGAGAAATTTACAAACGAGAGCCAAAGAATTCATTACCAAATTTCATCAGATCTAAGATGCCAGAGATTTAAACATGCACCTTTATTTTTATGTAAACTAAGGGAAGAAAAACCACATCACTAGTTAAAATAAGACAACTCTGACTGTAAGATGCATCCCACGTTTAGAACTGTAAGGAACTGTATGTTCACTCCATAAGTCTTGCCTCCCCTTCGCCGCCCACAGCCAAGCAGGACCAAGTCCTGCTGCTCCCACCCCATCCGTCCTCCACCCCAACAGCCTCCTCTCTGGAATGAACTATGTAAGAACCTCCCAACTGCAATTCTCCCCTTTCATCTCTTTCCTCTTCCTCGCCCTGTACCCCCAAGTTCAACATCCACTCCCCTGGAATACCTATCTTTCTGGACCACAGATCTGATCACACCCTACTCTGCTTGTTTAAATGTTTAATCATTTCAAACCCAACAACAGCTCTTGGCCACCACATTCTGTAGCATGGCATCCGGTGCCTTTTCCTTTCCGAGAGGAAACCACACTCCGCTCAATGCCCCCATCCTGGGCGCTCCCTCAGAGGGAAGTGCTGTGCCTCCTCACCTGTGGCTGCGGAGGGTCCCCTCTACCTCAAACCCGCCTTCCTTCTCCCCTGACCCCTGCTGCCCTTCTCCATCCTCCTGCAGCACCTGGACCCATCCTTCTAGATACGACCTGCATGCTGTTTCCTGCCCCTCCCCTCCCTCCATGGGTCTGGAGAATTTAGACGGTGAGCCCCTGAGAGCACTGTTTGTCATATCCACGTTTATTTCCCTATCCCTTAACAGACTGCTTGGTAAACAGGTACTCAGTAAATATTTATTAGGTAAACAAATATACAGTAAATTCAAGTTAATTTCTTCTAACATAGTACATGTTATGGCTAAATTAGTGAGTGAACAAATGAACATATGGACATTTTAAAATGTGGCCAGAAAAAGAAAACATCTCAAATCTATGCTTATTTGACAGAGCAGTATAATCCCAAGAATTTGAATAAATTATACTGGTATCCCTTGTTGTTAAGCAGATATGCTCTGAAGTCAAATTTAATGTATGAAACTTTTAAACTTCACCTGCAGGGGAAACCAATGGGGAAAATAGCTTTACCCTGGGAGGGTCCCTCTATGTGTCCTGCTGCCTGCATGGCACAGGACACAGGGCACAGGCAGACCCTCACAACAGCCCTCCTGGCGTTTGGCGAGGGCCCTCTGGGGGCGGGAGAGCGAGGCAGCCTCCTCCCTCGCAGAGCAGCCAGGAGACCAGGCAGCGAGGAGAGGAACCTGACCTTGGGAGGCGCTGACTCAGCGCTGTGCTGTGCATGGTCTCGTTATCTCCCTCAATTTTTATAATAGCACCATGAGGCACTACCTTTATTTCAGAAAATATGTGAACTGAGACTCAGGGGTTAAAAAACTCCTCCAAGTGGAACCTCACTGGGAAAACAGTCCAAATTGTATCCAAGCCCATGCTGTTACCCCTTCCGGGGGCTGAGACCACAGGTCAAACCCTGGAAGACCCAAGCTCACAGAAAGCAAATTCTCCCCTGTGGTTATCCTTAAGTTTAAATCTTTTGATAGCTTCCTTCCAAGTTATCTTCCCTATCTTAATTAAAAAAATTCCAAAAATAAATCTCCCATATAATATTCATGCCTTCAAAAATATTAAGTGATTAATATACACAGAGGAACTACACTAGATAGTTTCAATTACAACTATAGCGAAATCCACTCACACTTTTCAAGCAAGATGATGCAAGATAGGACTAAGAATCCATGTTTTTCTACTTGGAGAAGGCTGAACTAACAGAATAAGCAGTTAAAACAATTTAATGATAAATAAGCCGACGGCAATGAATGAAAATAACCAATAAAGAATGGCGATTATAAGAAAGGCTAGAAACATCAAAATAAACATCAGGTTCTTACTTATTTAGGAACCTTGAGAACTATGCTTCTGGTTTTCCTTGGCGCCCACATCCATCAGAAACGTATTAACTGACCATATACAGGCAGCGCCCAGACTCTAGAGCAGAGTTGACTGGGTAACTTTTAAGTTACAGATTCAAAGGTATCAGCTGACATCATCTCTTATTCTTACACAAATTACTAAAACATGTAAAAATGTTAATATTAAAGTATTAAAATAACCAGTGAAGGCTTTGTATAGCAAAATACATACTTTTGAAGTCTATGGTAAATTTATAAAAACCAACAGGCTATCCCAAAGGGGCTGAATATATTCCAAAGTTAGAAAATAAAATATGTAAAAATGTATTAAGCTTAGTTACTAAGTAGTAAGTTCTCATTTTCTAAATTCTTTAAAATGCACAATATATTCATTGTCTTAATTGATATTTCCCATCACTTCAAGAAATTTCTCATTAAAAATTAAATCTAGAAATAATACTACTGCAAAGGATAACATATGCATTTATGAAAACTATGCTTGTTTTCATGTTGAATCACCTAAGATTAATTATTAAGGTAGATTTTCTTAAATTATTGATTATTCCACAACAAATTAAAACTATTAGAAGTTTGGGGAAAGGACAAACAGATACATACACTTAATAACTATGCACATTTCATATATTACATTAAAAATAAAAAATCTGAAACAACTGAATTACACCAAAGACAACTCAAAAACCAGCTGTGACAACAGATTCATATTCAAATCAAAGAGAAAGTATTCTAAATAACCAATCTATATTGATATTCTTAGGTGAAACATCTGGTTTTCTAAATGTACAGACTATAAAATAAATCCCACAAAATACAACTACAAAGACTTGTGATGAGGTTCATTCAAAAACATACATCTCCCAGTTTACTGCAATTGTCCCTTATAATAAAAAGTGTGAAAAGCGTGTGCCTTTTCCTCCACTCCCCCTTCCCCACCTTACGAGCTGCGTATTTAAGCAGAAAGAGAGAAGACGACCGCACTCACCTCACCGAAGGGAGTGTAGAACTGCACGATGTTGGCGTCGCCCTCCTGGGCGGCGGCCCTCTGGGAGCCTGCCACGGCCAGCACGCTGCCCGTGTGGTTCCACTGGATGCTCACGACGAACATGTTAGTGTCGATTAAAACGGGATCTGGTCAGAAAGAAATAATGAGGCAACTGCGGTAAAACAGCCTGGAGAACTTTATAACCTCCAGGACAATCTTTAAATCTATTTTTAATTCTCCATGTTCAAGTTGCTTTAAAAATCACGTACTTTGGTCATTCTCGTGCCTCATTATCTGGCACCGCCCGTTGTCAAAACAAATGGCGAGGCAGGGGCAGTCGGGCTCCACGTAGCCCTCCGTGCCGTGGTACCACTGGATCCCGGCAATGCTGATCGCGCCCGTGACGTTCACCAAGCAATTCAGCTTCATTTTCATCTGAGTAGAATCAGCTAGGTTACTCTTCTATGTTTTAAAACAGATCAGTAAGAACAGAGTATTGTATAGAAGAAACAAAGGAAATAGGATTTAAAAATCTGGTTTCAAATGCAAGCTCCCTCACTTACTGGTTTGCCAACCCTGGACAGATCACTTCCCCTGAGTTTCAGTGTTCTGAGTGTGCAGCGTTTTTATGAAAGTCAAATGACAAGAGGGTGTATAAAAGTACTGTGAAAACAGCAAAGTGTCATGTAAAAGCTGGCGACTCTCGCTCCCATTAATGAGGGCACTGAGGTGAAGTCCTGACCCTGACTACGAAGAGAGCTGCCCGTACAATCGGATCCACCATAGCTGAACCTTACAAAGCCAGAGTCTTTCTTGAGATGATGCTACCTGAACCTATTTATTTTACCTTCTTTAAAGGCCCTGACTTTTGTCCCTTACTGTTTAAGTCTTCCATTCTTTCACAAACAACTTTTAGTAGCTTGCTACAAAAACACCCGCGGAATCTCAGGTGAACTCTGGCTTCAGCAGTGAGAAGACACAGGATTACCCGCACATCGTCCTGCTCATCCTCCCTCAGCTCCAGCACACTGAACCCTGGTTCCGTCCAGCCGCCAAAAACTGGAACTAAAGGGTTAAGTTACCTTGAAGCAACCCAGAAGTTTTTTAATTAAAAAAAGCTTGCAGAGAATTTAAACCTGAACTGAAGACTTTCTTGATCATACAAACCATCATAAGGAAATGTGTACACATATTGATATATGTGTACACATATTGAATGATATATAAAATAATCGCATAAAATATGTAAATAAAACTAATGAATATATGTACGTATACTTACTATAAAATTCCCTTGACTGTCATAAATGTGTATTTCTCCATTTGCCATCCCAAAAAGCAAGACTTTACTGTCTGCGGACCATGCTACGTGCCATAACTGTACGCCCTTCAGGTCTTTCCCCCAAATGCGATTCCCTAAAACAGAACATGCAACACAATTATTTCATTAGAGGTTCAAGGCTATGATTGTCCACAAACTGCTCTAAAAATCTTTGTTTTGCTAAAGAGCACTCACACGTTTGTTCAGTTTATTTAGTCAGTAAATACTGGAGCAACCACTACGTGCTAAATCGCCTACCAAACATTTGAAATAGCAGCTGTTTTTAACCTTCTCCCTTCTCTTCCAAACTCTGGCCCAGGACCTGACTCCCAATTAGTAGATGAAGTCATCTTCTACTTTGGAAACAAAATAAAAGCTTTCAAAAAAAGGAATCCTTCAGCCCTGGCTGGTGTAGCTCAGTGCTGATTGAGCGCAGGCCTGCGACCACACCACACAATCTCCGTTCGATTCCCAGTCAGAGCACATGCCTGAGTTGCAGGCTGGTTCCCTGCAGGCCAGTTCCCAGCAGGGGACGAAAGGCAGCCATACACTGATGTTTCTCTCCTTCTCCCCTTCCCCTCTAAAAATAAATAAAATCTTTAAAAAAAATAATAATAACACACACCAAAAAAAGAATCCTTCATTCCTACTTTCAAACATCCAACATAATTCGCATTCACGCCTTTGTGCTTTGCCCCCCAATACAAAGGAAAAGGTATGCGCCCCAGCACACCCATCTAAGGCCAACCCCCCACCTGTTCTCGGGTCTAACCCCTTCCTAGCTTTGCTAGGTAATTCATTTTGTAACTTACGATCTTCATGGTATCACATACAACTCTTCTCCCTAGTATTATACTATACTGATTCTCAAAATATTTTCCATACCCCAAACGTGGCTAAGTTCAAATCCTCTGGCCCTCCTCAAATGCTATTTCTTTGGCCTAGGACATTCTACATATCAATCTTCCTCGTGGCTAATGCCTCATCGTAGACACCACCTCCTCCAGGATGCCTTCCCTGATCCCTCCAAATCTGGGTTCAAAACATACTTCTTCTGCATGTTGCTGTATTTTCCCCGTCTTAGCACTGAGCACCAGCACTGTAATGGTTACTCATCCATCTCTCCTGATCTAAATCTGCACTAATTCTTTTGTCTTTTGTTGTACCTGGTGCCAGAACTACAGCTGTGATTTTGTAGGCTCTCAGAAACATTTGTGGAATACACCAAGTTCTACACACAAAAGAAATTTTAAAACCAGAAAAATGAAAATGACTTAAAGATAAACTATTTCTCTATAGATAATTTCTTATTAAAAGAAAGGTAGAGACTTTCAGAAGCCCAGTGTTAGCTATGAACTAGAATTTGAAAGATACAGTTTCTCATGCCAAGCTCTATTAAAATGAATGAACAGTCACCTCACAATATATAAAATAGCAAATCACTATGTTGTACACTTGAAACTAATGTCATATGTCAATTATATCAACTTTAAAAAATAACCAGAAACTATTATATATCTATGGCCTTTCTGAAACTAAAATCTATATAGTTGTAATACAGTGTAACAACTGTAAAGATAAGTTATATAATTAGGCAGACATATTTAAAATAATCCTGAACAATTAATTCACCTTTTTGACTGCCACTGTAAGAAACATTTTAAAATGGATTTTCCTTGAACATACTTAAAAGTAAATGATTCTGGAATGTCATCAAATTATGTACCAACTGTTTCCTCTTTTTATGTCCATTTTTCTGCCAGCGGACTAACACAGAGTGAGTGCAAACCCGTAAAGACAGCAATGTCAGTCGCGTCTCGACCTCAGCCCGGCGCAGAGAGGCATTACCATCCACGGAGCCGACGATCACAGCCCCGTCTTCGTACACGATGCAGATCTTCTGCCCGTCGGCCGTCCAGCTCATGCTGCGAACCACCGACTTATTTCTGTTGTTGATCATTTCCTCATACCAAGACCCTATTTCCACAGAAGAAAAAAATTACACGTAAAACTCCCACAGCTATCAAGTGGTACCTAGATTTAAAAACTTCCCATGAAATACAAAGTAAAACAAATAACTGTGAAGTCTTCTGCCACCTCAGACGTTACACTATAAAACCTTCAAATCAACACAAAATGAAAAATTAACTTAGGCCTTGACTAATGATTGCTTCAAAGATCATCACAGAAAACACAATAAATTCCCATCTTTTTTCCTCTCTTTCTCTGTTTCTTCCTTTCAATTAAAAAAATAAAACTTCATTTGTTTTTCAAGGGCCAAAACGATGGATTTTCTCAAGGCCTAACTTTTCCCACTTGAACACACTTCAGGTAACAACGAAACAAAAACAAAACAGCCACAATAACTTTGCAAGTGTGCGTAAACTCTCCAATGATGAATTACAAGCATACAAAACACAAGCACGTTGGGTAAAAACTCTAAACCTACCTGAAAAACATTTTAAACGGTTTATCTCACATGTCACATCACCAAGGCTGAATGACAAAAATATTCTTGGGCACAGGTTTCGAGTAAGATGTGAACTGTAACAAGGTGTAACCAAATATGGGCACATCACAAGTCTATTGCTTTGTTTGTGGTTTTTAAAAGGCTTTACCGCACTGGGTACGGGGAACGCCAGCCGCAGCCAGACAACAAGTCAGAGCGGGCATCACCAGGGGCAGGACCAAGGCCCAGGGAACATGCGTTGGAGAAAGACAGAGTGTATCCCAACCTCCTGTGCGTTCTCACTCTACTACCTACACACACACACACACACACACACACACACACACACACCTTTTAAAAATTGATAAATTCAGGTACTTAAGTTGAAAAATGGCATATTTTTTAACTAAGAATTTTAAAATGGTATACCCTAAACATTTTCAAAACAACACACATGAACTAGGGTACTCTTTTCATGTAAAGATGATGGCTACAGGCCCCAACAGAACAGGTATTATGAGGGGTTTTGTTTTTTGAGGGTCTTTTTGGTAATAGCGATGCAACTAAATTAATCCTTCTCTTACTCTCTCTTGCGGGCAAAAGGCACAAATTGTGAGCCAGTCGTCAGAGCTGAGATAAAAATCTGTGTCTGTGAAAGAAAAGGAAGCCAACGGATTTAATAAAGGTAATAAATTATTGCCTTTGACTTCTTAATAAACATGTTGTTATCTACTGAACCAACTCTAGTCACTGACCACATGAAAACTAATTCTTACTGGAAACCTGGAGAAACAAGAGTGACCTCCAGCAGAAATTATTCTGTAAGAGTCTAAGTTAATTTTGGAGATTACCAACAGTTACCTAATTCACTTTCTCTATACAAGGTCACAGTTCGGTAGGGAGCAATAAATCCAGAAATGTCACCGAGTGCAGTCAGGATGAACTCCTGCCGCTGGTCAGAAGGGCTCTATTTCAAAGACATTATTTCCCCATTCAGGTACTGCAATCCAGACTCCAATTTGTGAAAAGATTATTAAATAAACTCTCCTAGTATACCTTTGTAAAACATCCAAACAATGATAAGCCCATTTTGATCACTGGTAGTCAACTTTTGATATTGTTCATTCCATGTGACAACCTGAACAGAACCTAAAAAAAAATAAAATGATTTAGAAACTGTAATTAGTTTCACACATATTTTTATGACAAACACCAAGAGCATGTTAAAATTAGTACGGTTCTTGTCCAACTTTACCAGTCTTTAGAGTCAAAAATATTCATAGGATACATTTAACATTATCACTCATTTTTTAGAATGATGCATAATATTACTTTTACTTTTTGTTCCTATTTCACACCAACAAAGTACCTACTATGGTCAGCTGCAACAACTGCCACACAGCTGATGACAAAACCAAACACAAGATTTACTGAACTGGCCAGGCTCCCAGGGTCCTAATGCCCAAAGGACATCGTACTAAGTACTTGGTTGTTTTTCCAGGGGGGTTAGTGGTTGCTTGTGGTCATGTACTCTAATCTCTTTCTCCACCCTCCCCCTCCCTTGCTTTCCATTCTATTGGTAACAAACTCTTGAGCATATCTTAAACCTCTGGGTTATAGGACAAATTTGTTTTACTTCATTTAATTTTTGTAATCTCTAAATACTTTAGTGTGTATTTCCTAAGAATAAGAACATTCTCTTTCATAACCACATTATAACTTAAGTAATTTAACACTGATACAATATTACTCCATAACCCACAATCCACATTCAAATTTTACCAATCTACAGAAATCTATCTAAATAGTGTCCTTTATAGATACTCGTTTTTCTCCTTCAAGATCCAATCTAGGATTACGTAGTGCATCAGCTGTGATATCTCTCTAGTCTGCTTTAATTCGGAACCACAGGACAAACTATCAAAAAGATTATATCCTATCCCTAGACAGATACAGTATTTTCTAATATATAAAATAATAGCTACTTTTTTCAGATTTATTGAGGATGGTGTTTAATCGTGTAATGTAAAAGTTGTTGAATGACTCTGGACTGTATTATGGCTCAATAGAAACGATTACTTTAGCCCCAGCTGGTGTGACTCAGTGGACTGAGTGCCAGCCTGCACCAAAGGGTGGCAGGTTCGATTCCCAGTCAGGGCACATGCCAGGGTTGCAGGCCCCAGAAGGGGGAACGTGAGAGGCAACCACACATTGATGTTTCTCTCCCTCCTTTTTTCCCTCCCTTCTCCTCTCTCAAAAAACAAGCAAAATCTTAAAAAAAAAAAAAAAGAAATGATCACTTTAAATGGTACCACTATTGAAAATGATAATTCTGCAGTAGATGGTTTCTAAATGCCTAAAAATGAAATATGACTTAAAAATTACACGACTTACCACTATGACCTTGGGGCAACTGTAATAGCGTAATCAATAAAATATGATTAAAAATATATACATGAAAAATCAATCTATAGATAAGAACAGATGGAAATACCATCAACTTTGACATTACCCCTGCAGAAGTTGGGGAGGCAAAAGGCACAGGGAGTGGGGAGTGTGGGGAAGGACAGGAGGTCCCCTGCTGCCCCATCTCACAGAGAACGCACCCAAGAACTGCTTTCTCACGTTAAGGCGTAAGGGCTGAGTGTTTTAAGCACATATTTAAAATTGCTAAGGTAACTAGTATAAAAAATAAATATAATTGCCAAAAATAGGGTGACATAGACGGGACAGTAAACTAAACATCTTTCACAGTGGGGAATCCATGTAGGTCTAAAATTAACAAATTGAGCCATAAAGATATAACAACACAGAGCACAGAAAACAAGACCACAGCGGTTGCCCTTGAAAGACGGAACTACGTGGATGGATTCACAGGGGTTCCTTCTGACCAGGTGACTGAAATCAGATCGGTTTACAGACGGTTCTCAGATACATCGGCACCAGCCAGAGGCGAATGGCTACATGACAACCCCAGTCCACAGTGTCTGTAAAAGAGTGGTTCAGGGAAATCCTCCCCATGAACAGAAGTTCAAGCACATCTACGGTGGTCCTCTTTGGCTGAACTGAGAGAGCCTGAGGTAAGGATCTGCATTAACTTGTGGGCTGCGGTTGATGGTTTTACTAGAAGGTCTGGGACTCAGAAAGAACAAGGCTGGAAAATGATAAAGAGGAGACCTGGTGAAGAGACATGTGGATGGAACTCTTGGAGTGAGCATAGAATACAAATATATTGCATGCTTTTTTAATGCTCCCTCACCAAGGGGCAGTCAGTCTGGAGGAGGTTTTCAATAATCAAGTGGACAAGAGGGCATATTTTTGTGGATATCCACCTGTTTTTTACCCCAGCCAGCCCAGGGGTTGCTCAGTAAAACTCTGCACAAAATAACCATAGTAGCAGATATGGAGTTTGTGTGTGGGCTTAAAAATACGGAGTTCAGACCTGGCTGGTGTGGCTCAGTGGTCTAAGCACCAGCCTGTGAACCAAAATGTCATAGGTTATATTCCCAGTCAGGGAATTTCTCTCCCTCTCTTTCTCCCTCCCTTCCTATCTCTCCAAAATGAATAAATTAAATCTCAAAAAAAAATACTGAGTTCACTCACAAAATCCCCCTGGCCTCCACCTTGGCTGAGTACCTAAGCTAATCACAGCAGAGAGAAATGCTGAGTCCAGCACAGCACTGTGGCCCGGGAAGGTCAGCCAGAGACCTAATGGCAGGTGGATTATACTAAAGGGGCAACAACTTGCTTTTGCGAGAATAATACGCAGTTTGGATCTAGATGTGCCTTCCCTGCCTACAAAGCTTCTGCCAGCCCCACTGTCCATGACCTCGAAAATGGTCTTACCCGCCATCACAATCTCCACTCAGCAATGATTCTGATCACAGAGCTCATTTCACAGAAGGCCATGGCCCCTGCCCATGTTAAGGAATGGTCTTCCCACACATCCCATCACCCAGAAGCAGCTGGTCCAATGGAACGGGGAACTGGCTTACTGAAAACTCAATTATGATGCCAACAGGAGAACGATATCCCTCCCAAAAGGCTGGTTTCACAGGATGCTGCATGTGCTGTGAGTCAATGACCAACATATGGCGATGTTTTTCCCAATCCCAGAATACACAGGCCAGGGAGAAAATAAATAAATAAAACAAAAAATAAAAGTTGCTGAATGACTCTAGATTATATTATAGCTGAATAGAAATGACTACTTTAAATATTACCATTACTAAAAATGATGATAATTCTGCAGGTTTCTAAAGGCCGAAAGACAAAATATGATGTAAAAATTATATGACTTACCGCTATGACCTTCAAGATTCTGATTCATAGAAAGGTTATTAGGAGCTGCAAGACCCCTCAATTTTGCATCATCTAGAAAAACAAAAAAAAACAATAACAAAAAATATTATGGAAAAATAAAAGTGACAGATTATAAGATTTTCACATTTCTTGCCTTTCTGAAAGGCAATCCTATTCCTGGATGATATTAGGATTTTTTTTTAAGTACCTATTTTTCTCACCATGGAAACATGGACAATAATACACACACCTTTGCAATGGTATTATTCTGCCAAAATAAAGAACATCGTTTACTCAGTACATTAAATAATTAGTAATTATTATTACTACTTATTTCTTCCCCAAAGGTCACAAATAGAAATAATTGTGACGTGTAGATTGGAAAATCTAAAGCATAAGAGGGATGGAAAAGCGAAGGCTTGTATTCTGACAATAACATGAGCAAATCCCATTTTCATCAAGTTCAAACATTTGGGCTTGCATTCATTCACCTACCCGTCTGCGTCTCTAATTTCAAAACTTTCAGTAATCCATCTTCACCACCACATGCTATGAATCCTTGATCCTTGTTCCAAGATATACATTTCAGCTTCACATTATTGGGAATGGCAATCTGAAAAGCAACCACAGCCACTCTCACAATTTTTTACGAAGCAGTTGGGAAATGCGTCTACAGGAGAAGAAAGGCTGAAGAAAACCCGCCCAAGATGAAAAATGGTCAGCCTTGCAGTGTAAGATGTTTTGAAAACGGGCGTAGTCCCTGAACTGCGCCGGGCCCTACCATTTGGAAAAGAACGAAGTGACGGCGGAGAAACCCAACGGGGGAGTCGCCTGAAAGATTTTTAAAAGCGGTGAGTGGGAGATATGAACCCATACCACCAGTCCACATTCTCTTTCCACACACACTTAGACTACCCTTTTGTAATTATTTTTCTTTTCCCCGGCGGCCCGTGATGGTCCAGTGAATTTAAGTCACTGGATCAGCAACAAGTGGAAGAAGCACTCACTGATCTGTCCAGCGGGCCCCGTTAAAAAACCCAGCCTGGGGCAGGGATGGGAGATAGTCTATAAGAGAGGGCTGCTGGCTCCACCAAGAACTGTCTGGGGCTCGGGGACCGTCTGGAAGAGGGCCGATGCTGGACCAGAAGGAAGGTCGGAGGAGGGATGGAGAAGCAGCGTTCAGGACGCCTGGCTCCGCGGACGGGCTACGCTAACCAAGGAGCGAGGGCGCACTGCGGGGAAGACTCACTCTCTTGCTCAGGTAAAAGAACATCCTGGAGTTCCCGAGAGGACGACCCCAAACGCCAAAGCTCACAACTGGAAACTAGTTTCTAAGTCGCCAATCGCCAAAATCAGCGGTTCTTGGAAGCTCCCGTCGCCCTGGCAACCGGTCGCATCCGGGGGCGCCTGGAGACACTTCCGGTGTCGGCCCAGCTTGGCCCAAAGAGCATCATGCGCTTGCGCGGACGTCAGTGGGGCGGGGTGGGGGTGGGGGGCTGCATCAGTGGCTGTGCGAGGACCGAAGTTCTAGCTGGGCCCTGGCTTCTGATTCAGGATTTTTCTGAGTCAGCTCCGGGCTTGGTCGCCGACCCTCAGAGCCCTGCACCGAAGCCTCAGATGCGCTGAGTTCCTGCAGGCTCGGAGCAAATGTCACACCTACCTGCGAAACTTGCAGAAGGTGTCAGTATCCTTTTAGGAGGAAAGGCGCCCCTGCAATTTTGGAGGCCCCGAAGCCCCAGCATTGTTGAAAGGCAAAAGTCGTTAACTGTATTTCGTAGGTCGGCGCCTTCGGGGCAAATGAAACTGCAAACATGCCTTTTCAGAGTTTGAAAACCTTCTTCCCTTGGGCCTTTGGGGAATTAGAGAACTCCTTGGAGAGATCTGAGGGTTGGAGTTTGTGCTCAGTCTGTTTGTTTTAGGATTTTTTAACAGGTTATTTAAGCTGTAACTGAGCCCAAGGGCCCTCATGAAAGTAATGTATGAGCTTTGGGCCATTACAGCATATAATTGCCATTGGGCCATAGCCTTTCATTTTTTAATAATTTTAGTATTTGGTATTTTCTCGCCTGGAGTCCATTGTTTATACCCTTTTCTTTTTCTACCCTCTTCTTTTTTCAGTTCTTTGTGCTTTTTGATTCCCTGGAAAGTTACAACGTGCCACAGTTTCAGGGATAGGGCAGGAACTCTCATGAAATTATTGTCTCCCCCATTTTTAATTTTTCTCTGGTTTTCCATTTTACTATATTCTACGGGTACCACTGTTGATTTGTATAATCTAATATGTGCTTTATCCACCTACAGTATCTCCCCATCTGAGACAAACAGTGTGTAAATCCTTCGCAGAGCCTGTGGCCTCACCCAGCGGCACTTAAGAGCTGACAAAGGTTATCAAATTTAAAATCAGATTTTCCTTCAATCCTAAAATGACTTTAGTGTGGTGCCCTGACTCTAAGCAGGACAATATGCTCTCTGCACCCCACCATTCCTTTCTGCTCCCAAGGTGATTTTGTATGTGCTTTGATGTACCTACCCTTTTGGCCAATTGTGCCGAGCCAAATGCATCAATCTGGTCTCCCTCAGGAATTCTCCCCAAACTTAAGCCCCAGCCCATTCAGATGATACATGTATTTGTTTTCAAATGTACGAGTATTTATTTTTTCAGCACCAAACTGTTAATTCCTAAGATATGTCGGCACCTTCTCACAGGCTCCCTATATTGGACTCATGAAGCAAATGAGTATTATATAAGGATCCCAACCAACTGGTCAAATTTAAGACAGGATTAATTGAAGCTAGTTTATAATGGTCACACTCTTGAAAAATCAATTCTCAATACCTTTCCCTAGTTCTTGAACATGGGCTCTCATTTATTCCTTCTGTAGCACCATTGCTCTGTGATATGGTAATATACAGTATATTACTGATTCTGTGTTCAACCAAGTTTGTAAAATAATACTGCTCCATCATATCCTTTCAAAAGTGTGGAGAAATAACAATACATCTTTCATAAAATATATACTGCCTTGATGTATTTATTTTTCATTTATTCCCTTTAAAGTGTATATTCTAGGTTTTTTGATGGTTTCTGGGTTTTGACTGGTCTTTTTTATTATATTTGCTTTTCAGGCACGTATATTAATATACCCTTATCATCATTTAATCTAAATTGAGATAATTTTGCTTTCCCTCTTCCCTCTTCCACAACATTCTTGATTAAAGCTTTTCTGTTTAATCTGAACTTACATTTTTAACCTTAAGAGCATTAGATTTAAATTATTCAAAGTGTCCCAACATTATGTTCTTTGAAAAGAAACTGTTATATATTCAAAATGACCCAGTTTACTTTAAGGAAATATGTTAACAGACAAAATTGATATGAGTTACCATTCTGCAAAAAAAAGAAACATGACAGTAATAATATATAAAGATATTTTTATTATACTAAAGACAAAGCAAACCAAAAAAAATAAATAATTGGGTAGTACACAATTTAAAGGACTGTTTTCTTCTAAAAGTGAAGATTTAATGCTGAAAAAAATTATATGCATCAAATATGTAAGTGAAAAAAGTTTGGCTTATTACTAACACTTAAAAAGGCAACATTAGGTTTTGTTACTTGTTACAGCAATATTTATAAAGATACTTTTATTATTGACCCATAAAGTAAAAGAATATAATAAATTTAGGGGTTTTGTCCTTAGTAAAAAGTTATAATTCACAAGTAATGTCTTTAGTTGTGTGTTTCTTTCAAACATCAATGAATTAAAAATGGCATGTAATGTACACTTGATCTGTGTTAACTATATTAGATGCATGTATTACAATCCCCTGATCACAGCTTCAGGAATACTCTAGTAAAAATGAGCAACAAAGAGTATTCAAGAAACAGTTCTAAATTATATTCGCCTCAATTTAATTAAAGGAACTTTTTAATGTGTAAATATTATATGAAATCTATACTCTCAGTAATAAGAATGGTTTAGACTATACTATGAAGAGAAAATAGATCAAAAATTTCCAGTGTATGAAACAGAATAGAATTCAGAAATAAACCCCTGCTTTGATGGTCAATTGATATTTGACAAAGGAGGCAAAAACATACAAGGCAGTAAGTAAAGATAGTCTATTCAATAAATGGTATTGGGAAAATTGGATAGATACATGCCAAACAGACCAGACCACCTTCTTACACCATACACAAGAATAAACTCAAAGTGTGTTAAACTTAAATGTAAGACTCGAAACCATAAAAATCCTAGAAGAAAACATTGGCAGTAAAATCTCAGACATTTCTTGTAGCAATATTTTTTTCTGATAGATCACTTCAGGCAAGAGAAACAAAAGAAAAAAGTAAACAAATGGGAAGACATCAAACCAAAAAGGTTTTGCACAGCAAAGGACATCAACAAAATGAAAAGACAACCCTCTGACTGGAAGGACATATCCGCCAACGAAACATCTGAGCAGGAGTTAAAATCCAGAATTTATAAAGAACTTAAAAAACTCAACATCAAAAAACCCCCAAAGAATCCAATTAAAACATGGGCAAAGGCCCTGGCCAGGAGCTCAGTTAGTTAGAGCATCATACAAACACACGAAGTTTACTTGTTCGACTCCTAGTCAGGGGGCACACACCAGAAGCAACCAATGAATGCATAAATAAGTGAAACAGCAGATAGATGTTTTTCTCTCTTTTTCTCTTCTCCACTCCCACCTCCTCTCTCTAAAATCAATAAATTTAAAAAAAAATTAATGGGCAAAGGATCTGAATAGACTCTTTTCCAAAGAGTATTTAACAGATGGCCAATAGACATATGAAAAGATGCTCAACATCACTAATCATCACAAAATGCAAATTAAAACCACAATTAGATATCACCTTCCACTTGTCAGAATGGCTACCATCAATAAATCAGCAAACGAGTACTGGCGAGGCTGTGGAGAAAAGAGAACCCTTGCAAATTGTTGGTGGGAATGCAGATTGGTTCAGCTACTGTAGAAAAGTGTGGAGATACCTCAAAAAATTAAAAATGGAACTGCCTTATGACCCAGTGATTCTGCTTCTGGGAATTTATCCAAAGAAACCCAAACCACTAATCTGAAAGAACATATGCACTCCTATGTTCACTGCAGCGTTATTTATAATAGCCAAGATCTGGAAGCAGCCCAAGTGCCCATCAGTATATGAATGGATAAAAAAAGCTGTGATACATTTACACAATGGAATGCTACTTGGCCACTAAAAAAAAAAAAAAAAAAAAAAGGAAACCTTACCCTTTGTGACAGCATTAATGGACCTGGAGAGCATTATGCTAAGTGAAAGAAGCCCGTCAGAGAAAGACAGATATCACATGATTTCACTTACACATTGAGTCCCATGTACAAAAACCAAGTGGAAACGGACATATAGATAGAGAACAGACTGACAGCTGTCAGAGGGAAGGGGAGGTTGGGGCCGGGTGAAACAGGTAAAGGGATTAAGGAAAAAAACTTGTAGACACAGACAATAGTATGGTGATTACCAGAGGGAAAGGGGGTACAAGTAGAAGACAGTAAAGAGGGGATAAATGGTGCCAGAAGGAGCCCCGACTTTGAGTGGTGAACACATTACAATATACAGATGACATATTATAGAATTGTGCACTTGAAATCTATATAAGCAATGTTACCCCAATAAATTCAATACATTTTTTAAAACAACAGAATTTAAAAGTGTACATTTATCTCATAAAGGAATAACACTGAAAAAATGGTGAAGTGTTAGTAGTTTCATACAGGTGATTTTTATTTACTTCTTTATACTTCTATACATTTAAAAGTGTCCATAATGAATACATAATATGAACATGATTGTATTGTAGAAACAGAAGACTTGTATTTGAGAATAGAATGAGAACTTAGGAACTGAAAAAAATTAAATGGCTCAATTAGTAAATAAAGAAACATTATACCTTCCATTCTATTTTCACAGTCATAGCTTCGAGACACTAAAGTTTGCTTTTAATAAGGATCTGGACATTTATTTCTATAGGAGAATCATTCTAATTCTCTAGAAGATCCTCAAACTACTCATCCAGTAATACCCAAGCATTTGTAATGGCAGAATACTAGCAGGAACATTGCAATGTGCAAAAGTATTAAATATACCAAATTCTCCGTATTTCCAGGTGAAAATTTTAGGCAATTTAACGATGTATTTGTCCGTATTCATTTGCCTGCAGCTTCTCCAAAATGTCATCAAGTGGATAGTTGTTAAGGCCAACACTTATTTTTAGACATTAGAAAATATAAACCCACTTTCAAACACTTCAATACAAAATAAAAGAATTAACCGTGAATTTTTAAAAAGTGAAATTGTTGGACTTCCGCCAAGATGGAGACGTAGATGGA